ATAGATAGATAGATAGATAGATAGATAGATAGATAGATAGATAGATTCCACCTTTTCAAAAATGACTCAGCAGCAGTGTCCTTTTATCAGTCTTGTTTTAGTCAAGTCAGTAGAGACAGGGCTTCCTTCCTAGAAATGTAAAATTGGGCTTAAGCTGTCAAATTGCCAGCAGGCAAAGGTCCAGCCTGTGTCTTTTTTCTACTTATAATTACCAGAGAAAGCCAATGAAATATTGTGATACACTGAAATAGTGTTATGACTCGTCTCTGTATGCAAGAGAGGGGCACATACAGTAAGTGAACAAGAGTTGACCTTCTCTTTTCACTGTATGCTGCAGGCTTATTTAAGGCCTAGTCCACCTCATGGTTCATATCCCCACAGCTATTTCCTTTTTAAAAGAAGGGGTAGAGAGAAGGAAAGGGAACAAAACATGAAAGAAGAGTGAGAATCAGTGCAGCAGGATTGGTTGGGTGTTTTGAGTTTGTTTGGAGAAGAGGGACTGGGATGAGGCAAGACCTTGTTCTCTGACGTCAATGGACTGTTCCCTGGGCAATATGCCAGCCAAGTGTGTGTGAGTAGGATCTATGCATAAGCATTGGTCTAGTAGAATCATGACCTGCACATCAAGGTTGAGGTCTTTGACGACAGCGGCAGAGACAGCTGCCACAACAAGATTACAAAAGTCATCCCTCCATAATTTCTTCAGTCTTTTACCTCATGATTAGTTTTTCTTTTCTCTTACAACTTTAGGCAGGTTGATGATTTATGGAGAATCTGTCTAGAATCCTAAAGCCAAAAAAAGAATACTCAGTCCAGAAGTACATCAATTTAATCATACATTTGTATGAGCTGACTCATATTTTTTATGTTGATCTAATGTTCATGTTCTCAGAATCTAGTGCTAAATGTACACAAGCTGCAATATGCATGTGACCACTAGAGGCACTGTTGGTGACCTAATGTTTAAAATCCTTTGCTTTTGGGAACCTTAAAACCATGTATGATATCCCAGCTGTCACTTTCCCAGCTGAATTCTTAAGATACTTGTATCTTAGTTTCCTCTGTTGTTGCCATATTCATTTCTTTACCTCCTATAAACCTGAGTCCCACAGTGTGCCCCCAGACACTCAGACGAAAGTCATAGTACACAATATTGCCCACAATGGACCCAGTTGTCTACATGACTTTGTGGTTCAACAGAAAGTGTATTTCTGGCCTCCAAGTTCAGAATATTGATTAGGTTTATCTCTGTGTGTACAATACGTAAGAGGAACCGGTCAATGTTAGGTTTTGTTTGGTTAAACCTGAGGTCTTTTACACTGTTTTTGTTTGTTTTTTTTACCTGGCCTGCTCAGTTGGTTATTTTTGGAATGAAAACATATTTGGTTAAAACATAGTTGTTACAGAGAAGTAAGTTACCTCACCTCATTTGGTACGGCCTCAGTTTTACTGTGAATTTTGTCCCCTTTCTTTCTTCTTATTAAAGATTGTTTTCTTATTTCAGTCAGTGGAGTGATTACCTCTTTAATTTTATTAAATAAATGATTTCAGATCATCCTAATATTTTTGTAGAAAGTTTTTCTCTGCACCATATTTGCTCTGAAAAGTATTTAACATAATTTGTTTTTTGTTTTCCTTCAGATCATTTCCAAGCCCAGTGATCAGGTCTCAGCTGCAGGTTCATCTGTGGCAGGCAGGCAGCATCAGAGTCACCCAGAAGAGACAGAAGAGGAGCTCAGGGAGCACCAGGCACTCTCCTCATCGTCATCATCATCCTCCTCCACTTCTGCCCAGGAGGCTGGTTTGCTCCGGGGCTTGGTCATCAAGCAGGAACCTCTAGACCCTCAACAGCAGGAAGACAGGGAACAGAGGGACAGACAAGCAGACCAGGACCTCCTATTCAAACAGGTATGGGAAATAACAGTATTTGACAGGTATGGGAAGTACATAAGGGACAGGTGCAGATCAGAATGTGGTAAATCAACATGTTAATAAAACAAGGAAAAAACAGAAGGTATGGAAAACGTGCCTTGATAACAACATCCTATGATGGCAGCTGTGGGGGAGTTTTCAGCGCCACAACAGTCAACAGTGAGAACACAGGAAGAGCAAGGTGCTAGATCTTCTACCAAGTGTTTTTTTAAAATAGTTTTGTATGGTATGTAAGTAGTCGTTCTATGTTCACTTTCTATAGCCAAACTTAGATACAGATGCAGAACAATAAACTATACAGAACAATGTGTTTAAATAGAAAAGGTGAATAGATAAATAATGACTGATGGAAACTGGAGACTGACTTGGCATAAAATCTGAATCTATTATAAAACAGAGACAAGTTCAATGTGATTTTGACAGCAGTATAAAATTAACACGATGGCGGAAGAACATCCTGCTTTAATTCTTTTATATTCATTTGAGGGTGGCATCCAGTTCAACTATGTATCATTATCTCATCATGTATCACTATGCATGACGGTGAAAACTGAGAGTGACTAGTTATTTTTGTGGATCGTTTTGCACCAGAAAATCCTTACAGAGACAATTGTAGTAACTGTAGTGGTGACAGATGGAGCTGTTAGTTATTGGCTGGAACAGTGCACTCTTCATTCCATCTGTCCGTCTTCCCAACAATCTGATCAGCCCACTTTCCAACATAATTATAGCTACATGTTTTTTTCCATGCAATACAAAACATACTAACAGAGCAATATTGAAGAGTTCAGCATTAGTTGAGGACACATACTTCCTTGAAGATAATATCTAACAGAACTTTAGAAATTACTCAATATAAATATCGTACACCCACACTTTTTTTCTTCTAAAACAATCAAGTTCTGAAAAAAATGTGTTATATGTCCATGGAAAAATACAATGTGCATACTTAATTTCTATGTTGCCCACATGATTTGTGGACATATTAATCCACTGTCAGGACACTGTGTCCTCCCTGCTGTCTGCTCATCCAAATTCAATCAGCCATTCCTCTCACGGTCACCATGGTGCCCATACAACCCTTTCTTTTTTTCTTTCTTTTGTTATAAACATGAGGTCACAATTGTCAAGTGATTTAGGTATCTTCTTTTGTTGTCACACAAGGCAGTCGATATGAAATGAAATTGAAAATAAAGGGATTGATTAACAGTATTCTGTAAAATTCTAAAGTGGTTAACTGAAGACAAAAATTAAGAACTCATACTCTTTTCTTTTGAAATGCTTCCCATTCAGAACAGAAATTAAAACCAGCTAAAACACCCACTGTGTTCACTTTCTAATTTTGTACAGCACTTTTTGAAATCAAAGCGTTTGGTGCCATCTTCTGGCGTGATTGTTTTTCTGCAGTCCAGATGTTTTGCAGCATCGATTGTTGTGTGTTTGTGTGAGAGCAGCAGGCGCTGTTGTTGGAGCAGCAGCGACTCCACCAGTTGAGAAACTACAGAGCATCGTTGGAAGCAGCAGGGTTAAATGTCAGTGTTGCTGGCCACCGTCCTCTGTCCAGGGCTCAGTCATCTCCAGCCTCTGCCTCCTTCCCCATGGTTAATCAGGAGCCTCCAGCCTTACATAGATTTACCACAGGTCTGTTTACTTTCATATTCATACTTAAAATATTATATGCTGCATGATAGTAAATTGTATTTTAGAAAAACTGCATGAATTCACCATATCTGTCTGCATCTAACTTGTTTGTACATTTGCTTTTTCCCTGTTGTCAGCCATTTAAAATGACCCATTTTGTGAATTATGCAGGTCTAGTGTATGACTCTTTGATGCAGAAGCACCAGTGTATCTGTGGTAACACCACTTGTCATCCGGAGCACGCTGGCCGCATTCAGAGTATCTGGTCCCGACTGCAGGAAACGGGCCTGAGGTCACACTGCGAGGTACGGTCAAAGTAGTAAAAGAGCATGACGAAGAATAAAAAATGTTGCTGTTTTTCTTTGAACAAAAAAAAAAAATAGTTCATATTTGAGAAGAATTCAAATACCTCCTGATCAATAATCTCACAAGCTGTATGTACACACAAATGGCAATAATAAAGCAAGGCAAAGAGATTTAGCTTTCCCAACCACCCTGATAACATCGGAGTTCATGCAGTATGAGAGCACACACACACACACCAGTGTCCAACCACAACAGTAAGAAAACAGTTATGATATAGATTTCCTAACATTTGTTTTTTAACCTGATCTTGGAGTTTTATCCTGAGCACATCCAATTGATTTGTTATGGTGACGGTAAATGAATTAAGTATTATGCCATCTCTTTATCATTTGAGCCAAACAAATCCTAGAATTATCAGTTTGGAACATACATATGTAACATTGTGAAAGGAGAAATTCATTTATAGAAAAAAAAGTTTCAAATAAAAGCGGTCGGTTGACCTAATTTTTGGGGTCCATGACGTTGCTGAGCCTAGACCTGACTAGTTAAATCAAATTCAAATCATAACACTCAGCTCATATGTTGGCATGACATATGTGCTACCTTATCAGCTCTTAACAGTGAAATTATATTTCTATCTTCAAACTGCAATGCATCTTGCGTTGAGCTGTAGGAAAAAAGGAAAACAATGAAATTGTCAGTTGTAGGCGGAAATGAAAACATTTTAAGATAAGAAAGGCTGCACTGTAGTGTGGATGTTACCACACTCACTACAAGTTGGTGGTTCAAATCCTGGCTCTAGGGCTTAGTGTTTTGCATCTTTTCTTCACCTTTGTACAGGTTCTCTTAATTTCCTCCAGCATCTTGTACTGTCCAAAAACATGTTAAGTTTAAGTCATTAGCCCCTGTGTGGCCTTATAAATGACTGGTGACCTGTACAGAGTGAATCCCGCCCCTCACCAAAAGACAGCTGGGATATCCCGCCTCCCACCGCGACCCTACTTAAAAGAGGGGGGTGAAAAGAAAGATGGTTGGAAATCAATAATTGGCTACACGTTAAAGTTGCAGGTTTTAGAAAGAACCACAAGAGGGCAGTGGTGATCCATTTCAAACTTATATGATAATATATCAAAAGTGTCATTATATTATGTTACACTGATATTAGATATTTTGGACTTTTTACATGGTGGTGGTGGTGGTGGGGGGGTACCACTGGTTTGGTGTCCTGACATTCACACACTGTAACCTTTGCCACCCTTAACATCAACCTGAGAAGTTCTGATTGTTTTTGTTTTTTGTTTTTTCATTGTAGTGTGTTCGTGGAAGGAAGGCTACACTGGAGGAGTTACAAACAGTGCACTCTGAGACCCACGTCTTACTGTATGGAACTAACCCACTACGGCAGAAATTAGACTGTAAGACATGTTTCATACCTTATATTCAGATGTACACTAATCGGGGGACTAACTGGGGACGTTATAACATTAAAACAAATTAGTGTTAATCTCACTGATGTGGCAGCATTTGTTTGACATATACTGTAGTGCTTGGAAATATTTAGGACAGGCTCAGTTTACATGTAGTTGTGGAACATTATGTCCACGGAAACTGTCAAATTAGAAGGGCTAACATCAGTAGCCTGATGTGTAAAAGCCATGAATCGTAGCATATGTTAAAAGTATCTGCTCTAATGCTTAAACCATGTTGTAACAAAAGATCCAATCTAATAAAACCGTGGATGTCTTATGATAAGTCAAAGAACTGCTGAAACTGTTGAACCAGAAGTCACTTTGGCTGTTAAGTCACTTGAATTTGGCATTTTAATGCAGGTGTAGAAAAGATAATCTGTTTTGAGTGTAAGTGAGTGCACACTGTGTTACTGTAGATTCTTAGTTATCCAGGTCATGGTAATCCTAAACACTTGAGTAAACAAGCTCTTAGGAGTTAACAGTATAAAATAAATATTAAAAATAAATATTTTAGCGATATAACCAAACCATAGTGGCGAACTCACATATTTAATATCTTGTAGTCAGGCCTTCCGAATTTTACAGGAGAGTTATCAGATGGTCTTTTCTAAGGTGAAATGTACAGATGGGACTACATGCAATATAAATGATGAAATTGCAGAAGTATTTAAATTTACAGCTGAGCTAATATTTGTTGACTCATTTCAATTTTCAGTGACTGAACAGAACCATCTCTAAACTAAAATCGTGCTCCTCCCTAAGGATACGCTTGATTGTGAGGTCAATCTGGGCCTTTCTCTTTTTCTTTGCTTAGCCAAATTAAACCATCCCCCCTGTGTACTTTTGCAGTTAGATAAGGTCAGAAAGTCAAATGCTCATTTTAAGGGGTCGTGTTCTGATTTGGGCCAGCAAATCCACAAAGTTACCCTTTCACTCTGTAGCCCTTCATTCTTATTTTGTCATTAAATGATTCTGATTTCTCAATTGGTTTACTTTTGTCCACAGGTTCAGTGAATCCTATGTTTGTGAGGTTACCCTGTGGAGGCATAGGGGTAAGTTAATCCCATATATCCACTGCATGAGTAAAGTTTATTTGCATTATTCCTCTTGAACACCTCCATTGTTAGTCACTGTACTTGATTAAGTAGAAACTGATGTAACAGAATAGAATTTTAATAACATTGTAATAATCTAATCAAAACTCTACTGGCACTGCAAAAATGTTACTATGGAGTATAGTTTCTGTATCAACAAATAGTTGTGTACAAACCATGTAGGATGCTTTTTTTCTGCCCCTTCCCTCTGTAATGCTCCCATTTGTTCTTGTTCTACCAAACAAACACACACAAACACCACCCCGAAAGGACCAGAGGCAACAAAAGCTGTTGCTTGCCTTTCCGGTGTGTTCATAATTATAACCAGATGTACCAAGCTCTGTTGTTGTGTGTGCCACAGGGTATGATTGTGTTTGTGTGCATTGCAGTGCGTTTGGGGATGTTTGTTAATATCAATGGCTACTTACATTTGGGAGTCTCTCACTGGTAATGTCCCTGCTTTATTGTCTTTTCCCCAATGTTAAGAGTTTGAGAAGGTTCATTAGGCCTCCTCATACCTCTCCTGACACCCCCTCCTTCCTCCTATGGGAGAAAATGGGGTAACAGGAGGAGCTTGAGCCCTGCATTGCTCTGCTCTTTATAATGGCAAATGGGACCAAATTGTTGTCTTCCTGTCATACACTCACATACAAGTCATGTGCACACAAAAATGCACACGAAGAGAGTAAAAGGGCTGAAATTAGGCTGTCAGCCTGCGGAAAACTATCATTCTATCATACCAGCACATTCCCGCTCTTTTCTGCATTTAACACACATACACAAATGCACACAACTTCCCTTTCACTTTTTCCTGACTACTGTAGCTTGTGTCCAATTCCCAGCTGAAACGACATCGACAGGGGAAACAATACACTTCTCAGCATCCTTATCAAGTTTAGGAAACACCATCTGTTTGTGCTCATTAATCTAACTTTATGATTCAGTTTCTCATTCGATTAGTTACTCACTCGCTTGATGAGTCATTTATTGGGATACTATGCTAATATATCTTCAACCACCTCCCTATTTCATTATTTTCAGCTTTATTAGTCAATAATCAGCTGTAATTCTGCCCTACTTCTTCCTTTTTTAGTTTCTTTAGTCTTTGGTTAAAGGTCGAGTTTAATTTAATGATGAACTTTTAGTTGGCCCAACTAAAAAGAAAAACTTTTTCTTCATCGTCCAGACATGATGCATTTCATTGCTAAAGACAAGAAGGAAGCAGATTGGCTGGCTGAAACATGGCTGACTGACAAGTTGTGGGGCAGAGAACGCTGACTGGGTAGCTGATGTTGATGGTCCTCTCAGCCAGCCGACTGACCCACAGGTCATCAGCGTGGATGAAAGGCCGTCTGACAGGCAGTGACTGGCAGGTTGAAGTTACTATACTGGAACAAGAAAAGCCCAAGGTTTACATCAGAAAACCTTACCAGATCTCTGGCATTGGCCGCTCCGCACATGTGTGCAAAGTTCAAACACACTGACACACAGACCTTCCTTTTTCCTCTTTTCCCCTGCCAGCGTCTTCTCTCTGTGTTTATCATGCGCTCCATCTGCCTACAGTATCTGCCATGCCTGATGGAGGGTGTGTATATTATCCTGTACACGGCCCTGTGTACAATCAATCAAGGAGAATATTGTGGTCTGTTTGGCTTGAATGTGTGTGTGTACACGTGTGTGGATGTACTGTTGTGATTGGGACTAAGGGCCAGCCGTGCCTCAGCATTAATCAGACTTCACCGCTGAATTGTTTCTTTGTGGCTGAGCATATTCAAGTACCGTACATACAACCAACCTGAGAAACCTTTTGTTACTGAATAGTGTCAGCTAGTAAATACACAGTTTTTAGGGTGTTTTTACAATGTTGCTCAATTAGGAAATAACTGTAAGTGACGAAAAATAATGTATTGTGGATGCTATCCTATCCAACTTTCTGTGTCTGTTTATCGACTTTGAAATGTGAGGTCCCATTATGATTTTGTGGATTTGAAACAGTTCATTCATGGGCAGAATGTGCATGATTAAGCCTCTAAATATGCCTCCCTGCTTCATTGCAGTAATCTCCATTGTTTTCTTTATGTGAATGAATTTTTCCCAGCCCTTCATACCCCTGAATCGACCCAGTTTGACCCTTTAAAATGACACAAGCCAAATTATTTAAAAGGTCACTGAAATACTGTGACTACTCTTTTCAAATATTCCTTATTTCATCAAAAAGAAGGAAAAAAAACACAAAACATTTTTTTTTAATTCTGTCCATGATTTTGCATAAACAATCTGTGACTACTTTTGTGCTTGTGTGTGTTGGCAGGTGGACAACGACACCATTTGGAATGAAGTTCATTCATCGAGTGCAGCTCGTCTGGCCGTCGGCTCTGTGGTGGAGCTGGTTTTCAAAGTAGCATCAGGAGAGCTGAAGGTTGGTTTGGAATCTCCGAGCTAAATTAGTCTTGGCTGTTTGTTAGGACTACAGCATATTTTCAGCAATCAGATCCAATGAAGATATTTAAGTTTGTCATGTCTGAGTGTGAGGAAATATGTGCATTACTTAAATCCATAGCCAGATCTCTGGGAGGTTTGGATTCAGTCTGCTTGTCAGTTCTATCCATCTACACATATTTCCTGCGAGATTAGGCACAGTGAAGGTTCTGTGCGAGTGGTTTAAAATGTATCTTGTTTGGCTTGTTTTAACAATCATGCTATATGCTGTCCAATACCTAATGAAAGAGATAATCTCCTTCCATTATCAACACCTTGCAGAAAGAATCCTCCACCCCCACCCCACTACCCCCAGCCAACCTTCATCTGTCTGTGGCAAAAACTGAACACTGTAACCCAGGCGGGAAGCTTGCTGCACAGGCACTGCAAATGCCAGCAGGCTACACTAACAGGCCTCCTTTTATTAGTGTTACACCAAAGCCACCTGCAGAGCGGCTGACACAGAGAGCGTTAATTTAGCACCAACATACCACAGACTAATGACATTCCTTAAAGAGAGAGGGGAGCACACCACACGGGTACCCGCAAAATTTTTGGTTGGGGTTTCCACATAATTTAGGTATGATCTGTTTTTATACACAGCCTTTTGAGCGTTTGGTAATATCAGCAACAAAGGGCAAATGCATCAGACATATACAGTTTTTGTTGCAGTTGAATTAAACACGAACAGGTATGGCCTTGACTTAACGTTAATGTATAGCCTCCATTCAAATATGTGCAAATGGTCATGTATGCGCACTCACTTAACTGGTGACATATACAGAATGCAACAACCTCTGCTGATCCTAACAGCCAACTGACCAAAATCCACCTGCAACAGCAACTCTTTGAACTCAACTTATACTCAGAAATCTACTCAAAAACACACCATCACACATGCACTTTTTCGACACATAGCCTACATCTCCCTCCATCTGTTGCTCTATTTTTTCCCCTCCTTTTAATTTCTTATGTTTCCTTCATATACGAAAGCAATCCAGCTCATATTTGCCTTCTTTACTCATATATACAGACAGCATAATGCAGAGTTTTTTTTTTAAGTTTCCTCAAACCAGCTTCGGCAGTTGTCGCTACAGTAATATTCAAACTGACTGCTAATCCACAGCAGCTAACCCAACATCAGTGTCTGTTGCTGCATATTTATACGGTCTGAGCAGTTTTCAGATGCCACTCAGGAAAGATTCGGTGACCCTTTTAAAAGTCAGTGAATACGTTTTTATTTTGTATGTAATCTTGTGTAAATTAAGGGATTAACCTTTATCACATCTTTGTTTGTCTTCCCCCATAGAATGGTTTTGCTATAGTTAGACCACCTGGACACCACGCAGAGGAGAGCTCACCTATGTAAGTATCTTTAGAAATTTAACTTTTTTTAAAAAGACATTCAAGTATATAAGCATAACAGACAATCATCAGCTGACAGACTTTAATTTGTCTTTCATTTTGCAGGGGTTTCTGTTACTTTAACTCGGTTGCCATAGCGGCAAAGCTTCTACAGCAGAGGCTAAATGTCAGCAAAATCCTCATTGTCGACTGGGTGAGTTTACCTGTCAACACAGTTGGTTCATTATGATGTCTGTATGGTGTTTGATAACATATTTCAATCTGTAAAACAGGGTTTGTGAAATACACTATAATTAAATCACACCATCCTGTCTACTGTTGAGTAATTTTTGTTTGTATCAAAAAGCACCAAAGAATGGTGGTAACAACTTTTCCATGTGCCTGAGAAGAGTACAGAACTACTTTGTTTCGGACATTCCCCTTTTCCTCATAGCATTTTATGGTTTGTGTACACCCTCAAACTTAATCAAAATAAGAACCAAATACAATTTGTGATAATATCCTCAATCTGACAAGAAAATGAACAAGTACAAAGACTTTTATCTAATTCTTAGGCAATTTTGTGACCTCTTTTATAGAATGAAAAAATATAGAAATGTAAAAGTGCAGAAATATCAAAATATTGTTTTGAACCTAGCAGCTTTTAAGTGACTAGTCTCTGCTAGTCATGTCAGACTCTGTGTCCATTATTTTTATTTATGGTACATGACAAAACCCAAAGTGCTCCTCACTAGCATCCCTGGTTGGTCTTGGCCATTTCCAAAAACCTTTGAAGGGCTTTTTAATTTCCTCTCTGTCTGTCACACAGACACAGGGCAGACGCATTGTCATGTAGCTTGCCTCCAGCTAATAGGGACATTTTTAGGATTTGTGTTTTAAAGCATTCCTTGAATATAGAAATGAGATCATTTAATTGATGTCAAGTTGTTGGCAAACATGAACATATATTTAAGTGTGTGACTGTTTTATTGGATCCTGTTGTCCATTGTTTTGCAACGGGCTGCAGCTGATATACAGACTGAGTGTCTGGCCTGTGTAACATTCAGCTGGTCTTAGTGCACTTGGGTTGATCTCCAATAAACAGAACAGCTTCACTTATAACCCCTCAGTCATTTGATTGTATTCACCAAAGAAAATAACATTGAAGAAATTCTTCCATGCTCATTTACTAATAACATTGTCACTTTAATCAAATCGGTGCTCTTATTTCCAGGATGTCCACCATGGTAATGGCACGCAGCAGGCTTTCTACGGTGACCCCAAAGTTCTCTATCTGTCTCTGCATCGCTATGACGACGGGAACTTCTTCCCAGGCAGTGGAGCACCTGATGAGGTGAGAGCCTCCACCAGTCTGTCTTTTCCTTCTGCCGACCTTGTGGTTTCTTTGAATATTAAATACGTCAAATGATGTATTTATCTACTGTAGGTGGGCAGCGGACCAGGAGTGGGCTTTAACGTTAACATGGCCTTCACTGGAGGACTGGAACCTCCCATGGGTGATGCAGAGTATCTCGCAGCATTCAGGTGAGACGGTGATTACCTGCTGATTTGTGGTCACTTTGTAAATGTAGTTACATTTCGCATTTAATGTCTCTGAGATGTCTCAAAGAAAATGTTTTTTAGAAAAAAATAGCTAGCAGTATGATTATTTTACCTCACGACTTAAAAAAATTAACAAAAAGTTGTAACACATGGTCTATCGAGATCTGTTAAGTCTGTATGAACTGGTGATTTCAGCTATACATAATCTCCCAGAGCCACACTCACACATACAGGAATGTCTCAGTGCAGACATGAATGTGTCACTTTCACATTTTGAATTCATACAGCTGGAAAGGGTCAGGTCTGGATTTGTTCCAGGGCTCTTTGAAGATAAATCCGTGTTTGAAACTGTGTGTCTATCTGGCCTTTGCCTGACACATCAAACACGCCACTATCTTAACACAGCTTTTGACACGCAACCTCCAGGAAGCACACCTTGATCTGTTAATGCACCCCAGAACACTTTTTGCTCCCACTGGCCTTGTCTCCTCTTTATTCTTCACTTTCACCCTCAGCCTCCTCTTTGTACCCTTTTGTACACACGTCATTTAAAATCCACCGCTAAAAATAAGGGTTGCATGGTTCATTCATGTCACGTTGTTCCATGACAGAGGTAGTTATTCATTGCAAATGTCACCAACTCTTATTAGAGCATATTTTGTGGTTAATAATTAGAGTTTAGAAAATTATATTCTAAGATATTCCAGTATTTAACAAGTGTTTGAAGGGAATGCACAACAAGCTTATGGAATACTGGTCACATTTACCTCTACCAAGATAAAACCTAATATTACAATGTTTTCTTAGGAAAAGCTTACTCATATTATCCACATTAGTAAGGAACAAAGACACTTGACATTCTTCTACACTACAGCACTCAAACTTGTCAGGTTTACTCCTCGTGGCTCAATGATTCAGTTTTGGAATGAAATCAAAGGTGACAGCACATGTTATTATTTCTGGGCATTTATATTAAACAGGATACTTTGTAACTAATGTTTTTGTAAGTTAAAAAATATTCATTAGTCGCAGGTTGAGCTATGCCTGAAAGCATCATCCTGATACACATTTTTGTGTGTGTGTGTGTTTGGTTGGGGGTTCATTCATGTGTGTTATGGCTTGTCTAGTGGGAGAGCTACTCTTATAGTTTGTGACAAATTAAGAAGAAAACAAAAATTGCTTTCATTAGGGGAGTATTTGATGGTTTATCACATCATATCCTTGTGTTGTTTAGCCCTCTGACTCTTTGGCTGAACACCAGAAAACTTTTTTAACAGATCAATAATCACACAAAATTACATAATTATGTGTGTTCAAAAGGTACGAACGCTGGATCATTATGTCATTCCAGTAATTATGTTTGTCACAAAGTTAATAAAAAAGCACTTTTAAACGTTTATATTCATACACAAAAATGCAAGTGTAAATGCTCACACATACACCTTGAACAGTCCATCACTGTCAACCACATGCACAACCATAAACAGACACCTGATACACACAGGCCTTGTTTATCTGTGGATTGTAGTGGCCTGCTCCCTCCCTATCTGTAGGAGACTGATGCGTGCTTTGCAGCCAGAACTTTCTCATTTCTCTGCTGGCTTGTGCCACGTTGCATTTGCAGGGGATCAAGTCTGAGCCTCAAGAAAGCACGCAGAAAAAAGATAAGAAAATTGGCCCTAATGAAAACCAGAAGCACAGTCTCTCTTTCTCTCTCTCTCCCTTCTTGCCATGAACTTGGAAAGAAGAGAGAGGAGGAGAATTAAATTTAATTCAAACCAGCTCTCTGCAGTGCCAGATGACAGGGCTTTGAAGTGTAAGTGTGCGTGTGTGAGTTTTACGCTCTCTTATTCTTCCTCTTCTCCTGCTCTCCCCTTTTTTTATGAACAAGGGGGGAAAGCCTTCAAGCTTTGCAGGTTAACCTTTAGTTTGCTGGTTTGATGAGCACTGCTCTCTCTAAATGACAGTGTATATTTCCTACATCTGTCCATTTTAGATATAGAGGACGCTGAATGTTTCTGATGTCAACAGCTTTAAATCTTACATAGGAATAAATCAAATCGCAATCAAACCCCATGGAAAATACCAGTTAGCCATTAGAATTGGCTCATAATGTAGTGACGTTGATCTAAGCTTGGCGACCTGGGATGTGGAAGATCCAGTGTTTGTGCACCTGTTGCTGGGTAAACCAAACAATACTAAACAAAAGATAGCTCTAAATAACTGAAACATAAGTTAATTAGCAGTAAAACCAGAACTGTCAGCCAACAGTTCCTAAGAATGTTAACCACTTTGCTCAGGATGTCCCTTGCCCTACGGCTCAGTCTTAAACTCTCCCCACCCTTAATTACCAATCCGTCTTTTTCATCCGTGCATACATAGCCTATGATTCACTTCCGTTTATTCCATTTAAAAAACACTTGCATCCCTCTTTGCCAGCGTCACAACAAGATCTGTTCTTTTGTGTTCAGTGTATGAGGAGGGAGAATGGTAGGTTGATTGGATGAGGTATCAAATATCTCCTTCTGCATCATGTGTCATCCCATAATGGGACTGTGGTCAACAGCCTATGTTTAATATAGATTATTGACTTCCCAAATGTTAATAAACCAAGGCTGTGGATTTACACAGGCGGATGATTCTACATAACTTGAGTTTGTCTCATTAACTAGTGTTACCAACTGTTATTTATTGTTTTCACAATGCTAGTTATGTTCTCTGCAAAGATTCTGTCTTTCTCAATGAAACTTCTAGATCAATTTCGCATGACGTTTTCCTTGAAATGTTGCCAGATGCACAGAGACGCAGGCACTTCATGTATCCTTGTAGGCTGGAACTCCCAAAAACCTCTTAGTGCTCTCCCCTAGACAGCTGTGTGTACATTGGAGTGTTGTTTTGTGATGCTGTGGGTTGGGGTGCACGCAGCTCAGGGGTATAATCTGGTGGTGAGCGAGAGATGGAAAAGGTCTTTGGCTTATAAAGTTCAGGCCAGCTGCTTGCCCACAACCAGCAAACAGCATCGTCTTCCTGTGGTCAGGGAAGTGCAGTGGACCTACAACAGAACCTTGCAGTGCCACCATCACTCACAGACCTCACATAACACGACTTACCTAAATAGACCTGAGATCTTGTGAACAGTCCATCATAATACAATTTGGCTGTTTGGAAACTCAACTGGTTTCTTTATACAAAACACTGAAAGTTTCTAGAGAGTTGCTTTGCCAAATGTTGTCAAACTGACCCAGAATTTATTTTTTTCAGCTTCGCCTTAAATGAGAGTGATGCTGCAGAGTTAAAGCTGGTCCAATCTTGTTTTATCTAATCTTTCTGTGGAAAATGTTCCTAAAATGAAATGCACATCCTGTGTACCCCTTGTTCCCCAAAAGGGAACACCATATAAACCACATTGGATTTTCCAACCGCAGCATGCAGTGAATCATCGCACAGTGTGTCGTCCTGTTGATTCGATTTTTGTGTGTTTCACATTGCACACAAGTCTTCACCAGTTGTGTGTCAAATGAAGGACACACACAAACAGCCATGTTTCACCACACCCATCCAGTGTTAGAATTTGCCTCTATACTCAACACACATACATACATGCAATTATATCTTTCCTTCCACTCCTCCTTTTCACTTAAGAACCATGAAATGTAATACTGGCTCCAAATGTCCAAACTTTCCACTTCAAAAGTATTTGTGGTCATAATCTTTGGCACATACTCATGCTGTACAATTCCTTAAACCAGAGTAGGTGGATACTTGCCCTGAAAAACTTGAAAGAGAGAGACAAATAGAAAAAATTTGAAGGGAAGTTAGTAATATACTGCAAAGGTTTTTTTTGTCAAATATGAAAGTTGTACATCTGTAATTGGCTTTAATAGCTACAGTGGTTCTGGTACAATCAGTATTTTATGTACATTTATTAATTCTACATAGTTTTTCCACAGCAGAGAATATATGTTTTAAAAAAAGGTGGTAGGTCACAGGGTTGAGTGTTGGGATGTGACCATATTTTCAGGAATGCATAGTTTTGCTAAAACTATTTTCAATATGGTCAAATTTGTTGGAGGTGGAGAAAAGATAGAGAATAAGTCGAATTTACAAAAAAAAAAAGTTTTCCAGCAAAGAAAGATAAAAGAGCCTTGACCTATAACATGACTTCATCACTGATCCCAAAACATCAAATTGGCTCATATTCCCATATATTTCAAACTAACTTCGTCCTTTGCAAAGTTCCAAATCCAAAGAAGAATTTAAACTCCTTCAATCTTTTTAAAAACAAGTCATTTTACTTTGTATTTAAAGGGCTTAAAGAGCTGACGGATAGATAATTTCCAGTTACATACTACCCTCCTTTTCCCCTTTTTATACTTGAAAGTAAACCAGTTATACCAAATTTAAGTCCATGTAGCTCTCGGTTCATTGCAAGAACAAATTCTTTTAAGGTGTTCTAATGTTATATATAAAACAAAATATGTTGACGGGTATTTTACTTAACATGCCAAGTACAAATATAAGGCATATGTATTAAGCGTTTTTCTGTGATGAGTAGAGCTGAACTGAGATGTAATTTCCGTTGGCTGTTCCACGGTATGTGTAAATTGTGAAGTTAGTATTCAGTGTCCCTCCATTAAGAAAAGAGCCTAAGTTCCTTTTTATGGTACATAAGCAAATTAAGTTACCAAAACTCAATGTAACATAATGCCAGTTTCACATAGTCTGTAGGAAGTGTCGTCATGGGAAAAAAAAACAACTGTTTATGTTCCCATGGAATGGTTTCCAAAAATGTTATAAAAGTCTTGGAACTCAGTAAATAGTTTTTAATCCCACTTATCACTCATCATAGTGAAATTGTGTGTGCATACACAAATTAGATCTCATTGGATCTCGTATTTCAGCTCTTCTTATGGATAGCAGCAAGCATTTATTACATTAACTTGTTTTCTTCAATAAGTTATTTAATCATTTTAAATGCAGAAAATTTAGAGGCAAGAATTATTTTTCATTAAAGTTTGCTCTGTCTGTAGAACTGTGGTAATGCCTATCGCCAATGAATTCGCCCCAGACATGGTTTTGGTCTCTTCTGGCTTCGATGCCGTAGAAGGACATGCCCCACCCCTGGGAGGATACCAAGTCTCTGCCAAATGTAAGTACAGAATACACCTATATAGTTAAATGAAAAATGTTGCTGTTGTTTTTTTTTTTTTGTACCACCTCAATTCCAATTTAAATACTAATTAAAAGTATTTCATCATTACAAAATTATTTGTAAATCACGTACAAAAATGTCATTCAAATGTTATTCACAACAGAATAATGATATAAACACAAACACTATACACACATATAATTCATATTTTTGCATATATGAATGTGTGAATATGTAGACATCTTTAGATTTCTACATATTCACGTCTCTAGACCCTTAAGAGACACGCCATTAAAGAAAGATATTGATTCAGTATTAAGGTCATTGTATTGTATTGTATTTCAGAAACCATGCCATTCGCAAATGTAACTTAAAACTATTACAATGAAAAGAAATCAGCAAATATATCAGGAAGTTGTCTGTTAAATAGAATACATAAGACCCAGGATTGTTGAGCAACAAGATTCTTAAATAAAGTAAAAATGTTAAATATTCCATTCCTAAAGGTCCAACAGCTGTTCAGTTTTCAATTTGCACATTCATATTAAAAGAAAAGCCAATCATACACAATGGTAAACATGTGCCTCCCCAAACTTGTTAAATTCATCATGTATTTGTTTATTTGATTCCTCAATTGCTTTGTGTTAAATTTCTCAAATCAGTGTAATGTCCTTACAAAAATCAGATCATTTACATCACTTGTCATGTACATTTTGTAGTGTGACATAAAAATCTGGTGGCGGAAAAGGCTGCATACCCATGAGTGCTCTCTGCCTCAAACTCTGTATTCAGATGGAGACATTTGCGTGCCAGGTTCTAGCTTTTCTAAGACCACTCTGCTGATCCCAAATAAGAGCAGGGGTCTTTGTTGTCAAAGCAGCTGATTCGGTGGTTTAGAGAGGATTGCGGGAAGAAGAGATGGGGGCCGAATTTTGGAAGGAGTAAAGCATGGATGAATGCATATATTAGAATTCCCCTCCTCCTGAAAGGTAAAACATCAAATGCTGTTACCAAGACTGAATAGAAAGCCGTATTTATTTAAATTAATCCTGCCTCATTGTATAATTTTATAAGCTTGTTTTTTGGACCCCTAGGAAAACCACAGTCCACATTAAGTTTCCCTTTTCCTCCCTCTGATGCAGTCACTCCTTCCCCTATTCCTTTTTATTTGTTTGTTTTGTTTGTCTTGTCTTTTAACTTTGATCAGTATCCAAAAAGGAAGCCAAAGGATCAACAGCAGTTCTCACCCACTTCATTCTTTTTGCTCTCGCCCCTCCATCCTTCTCTTTTCTATCATTTCCTGTGTGCCCAGGCTTTGGCTACCTGACCAGGCAGCTGATGGGTCTGGCAGGCGGTCGCGTGGTGCTTGCCTTGGAGGGGGGTCATGACCTCACGGCCATATGTGATGCTTCAGAAGCCTGCATCTCTGCTCTTCTTGGCAATGAGGTAAAACGGGTGAGGGATTATTTACTTTTGAAAAATATCACCTAAAAGGATTGTTTAAAGCAGTGTGAGAACGCACTAATTGAGATTATTTGGTTTTAACTCACTAAACCTTAAAGGTTATTGATTTGATGCAATGCTTCTTTAACATATCCTAGATTTAGAGTTAAAATCCTCATCAGACACTGCAGTGAGCAATGACCCCGCCATACGTTGATGCAACAACAGTTCTGTATGAGTCAACTCTATCTTTCTTTTTGTGTTTTTTTTCATCTTTCCTACCACTAAAAAACAACATCAGCTCTTTCACACATTACACACAATCACGTCAGAAGCAAAAGATTTCCAGTCAGAAGGGTAATTGCGGGAGTGTGTGGGCTATGCCGTAAAACTCAACAAATATGGGTGCTGTGTGATTTGTGGCTCACAGCAGAGCAGCTCCTCCTTTTCAGCCCACTCATCTGCAGTCAATTTTGAGGGTAAAGTCTGTTTCGGAACTAATTTGTCCAAATTACTAAATGAGACATGAGCGTGAAATTATTTATCTTTGATTTATTTATTTTTTTATTGTTGGTGATATGTAGTGCTCATTAGAACCACATTCTGGTGGTCATTTATACAAAGGACTTATTCTTTTTTCTTCAATTTAATGTAGTATGTGAGGAGCATTCACACGTTGAATCAGGTTTTGGTAAAAAGATGAACTTTTCAAAGGATTTAACAACCACGTGCATCAACACCACACTAGCTTCATAAGTCGAACTATACAAATATACATATATATATATATATATATATTCACGTTTCTCTTGGGAGATGACAAAAGTTTTGAGGCACAGAAAGATCATATATATACAGTGGGGCAAAAAAGTATTTAGTCAGCCACCAACCGTGCAAGTTCTCCCACTTAAAAAGATGACAGATGCCTGTCATTTTCATCATAAGTCAACCTCAACTATGAGAGACAAAATGAGGAGAAAAAATCCAGAAGATCATATTGTCTGATTTTTTAAGAATTTATCTGCAAATTATGGTGGAAAATAAGTATTTGGTCAAAAACAAAAGTCCATATCAATACTTTGTTATATACCCTTTGTTGGCAATGACAGAGGTCAAACGTTTTCTATAAGTCTTCACCAGGTTCGCACACACAGTTGCTGGTATTTTGGCCCATTCCTCCATGCAGATCTCTTCTAGAGCAGTGATGTTTTGGGGCTGTCGTTGGGCAACGCGGACTTTCAACTCCCTCCAAAGATTTTCTATGGGGTTTAGATCTGGAGACTGGCTAGGCCACTCCAGGACCTTGAAATGCTTTTTACGAAGCCACTCCTTTGTTGCCCGGGCATTGTGTTTGGGATCATTGTCATGCTGAAAGACCCAGCCACGTTTCATCTTCAGTGCCCTTGCTGATGGAAGGAGGTTTTCACTCAAAATATCACGATACATGGCCCCATTCATTCTCTCCTTCACACGGATCAATCGTCCTGGTCCCTTTGCAGAAAAACAGCCCCAAAGCATGACGTTTCCACCCCCATGCTTCACGGTAGGTATGGTGTTCTTTGGATGCAACTCCGCATTCTTCTTCCTCCAAACACGACGAGTTGCGTTTTTACCAAAAAGTTCTACTTTGGTTTCATCTGACCATAGGACATTCTCCCAATCCTCTCCTGGACCATCCAAATGTTCTCTAGCAAACTTCAGACGGGCCTGGAGATGGACTGGTTTAAGCAGGGGGACACGTCTGGCACTGCAGGATTTGAGTCCCTGGCGGCGTAGTGTGTTACTGATGGTAGGCTTTGTTACCTTGGTCCCAGCTCTCAGCAGGTCATTCACTAGGTCCCCCCGTGTGGTTCTGGGATTCTTGCTCACCGTTCTTGTGATCATTTTGACCCCACGGGGTGAGATCTTGCGTGGAGCCCCAGATCGAGGGAGATTATCAGTGGTCTTGTAGGTCTTCCATTTTCTAATAATTGCTCCCACTGTTGATTTCTTCACACCTAACTGCTTACTGATTAGAGATTCAGTCTTCCCAGCCCGGTGCAGGTCTACAACTTTGTTTCTGGTGTCCTTCGACAGCTCTTTGGTCTTGGCCATAGTGAAGTTGGGGGTGTGACTGTTTAAGGTTGTGGACAGGTGTCTTTTATACTGATAACGAGTTAAAACAGGTGCCATTAATACAGGTAACGAGTGAAGGACAGAGGAGCCTCTTAAAGAAGAAGTTACAGGCCTGTGAGAGACAGAAATCTTGCTTGTTTGTAGGTGACCAAATACTTATTTTCCACCATAATTTGCAAATAAATTCTTGAAAAATCAGACAATATGATCTTCTGGATTTTTTCTCCTCATTTTGTCTCTCATAGTTGAGGTTTACTTATGATGAAAAGGACAGCCATCTGTCATCTTTTTAAGTGGGAGAACTTGCACAATTGGTGGCTGACTAAATACTTTTTTGCCCCACTGTATACACATGTCACCGCTGTGTAGTTGCGGCCATGTGCCATCAGCCATGTTGAATACTTAGAAAAACTTCTCTCTGTATCTTTGGCGTTGTACAAAGGCCCTATATCCTTTGGTACATCTGAAACACCACTGACTGTAGGCTGCTTGCTTTTGGCTTCATCTTGTTTGTTTTCAGAGTTATTGTGTTCCATCAAAGAAAAAAGTTTATATGGTTCTTGTACAGTCAAGTATGAGCTACTTAATAGCCATTTTAAACAGTTTTCAATAGTGTCAGTGACAGTGGAACCATTACTGGAACGTCGATAAACTTTTAGAATTAATTTTTAACACAAGGAAAGATTGTTTCCTAGCCCTAGTAATATGTGACTTAGAAGGACCCATCTTGTCATGGAACCATCCTTGAGTCTATGAAACACTATTTGATTCTGTCTACCTGTGCTGCACCCACCAGTGACCCAGAGCTTAAAGGCTTAGCATAACCACAACATCTGGTAAGACTTCAGGAAGTCAAGGACACCTTGAAGGTGGATGCTTTAAGCTATCACAGAGGTTTGTGTGCTGCACTTCAAGTTAAAGCTACTCTCCTAACTTACAGCACCCCCATAGACCCAAATGATTAAGTAAACCAGAAGCTTTGCTCCTTGTGTTTCAGCAGCCTGCTGGGCACCCCTGCTGGTAGGGTTTTGGAGGAGGTATTTGGTTGGGTGCCATAGGGAACTGAGAATTTGAAAATAGGCAGGAGGTAAGGGGCGTGAATTGCCTCAGCTCTGCAGGGCACTCCTCTTACCCAGGGCCCCACCACTGATACTCATCTGAAAACACTTACCCTTACACCTCTTTCAAGCAGGGTTAGCCAATGTCTAGGGATCAGATAGTAAAAGGAGATGGAGAAATCATTTGAAGTTGGAATGGAGGAAAATGTTGTTGAGCAGCTTTACTAGCTAATGTACCTGTACAGCAGCTAGTCATAGTTAGAATAAGTTTGGAATAAATTGTAAAGAACTGGCATGAAATAGTTTCGATGGCTTTGATACATTTGTAAGTAATACAAAAGTATTGTAAAGTATAGTATTGAGTTAAGCTCTCATAGTTTGACTGGCTGGTTCTTTGGCAGCAAATAATTACAGCTGTTTGAACAAAAGCAGATTTTTCACTTGTTTGGTGCTTTGATAGCTGATGGCAATGAGGGAAAAGAGGCTAAAATGTTCTTAATCAGATAAAAGCAACAGGAAGAAAGGGTTTTATCATAATCTCAGCAAAGGTCTCTGTAACAGACATGGAATGTTGCTGGAATACGTCAGTGGGGACTGATCTAGAGGGGACAAGAACAAAGTCTAGTCTTTTTTGTTTTGCTTAACCACTGCCCAAGTTTTGCAGAGGCCTCAAACAGCAAAAAAAACTAAAACAAGTGCACACTCACAAACCCCTTGCCAGGTTGAGCAGTAGAGCTGTTTGGGCAAAATTCTGCATAGTCCAGTTTGAATGTGTATACTGAGTGAGTTTTCCCTAGAGAGATTTAGTCGCACATTTCCACGTGTGTGCATGTATGTGTGTGTTGACTGACCCAGGCTTTAGATCACAGCTGGATTTGCTTGTCAGTTATGCATTTGTTTATACTACTTCAAACTGTCCGAGGATTTGCACAGCTCAGCACAATATTAGAAATATCTGTTCCAATTATAATATGTAGAATCATTAAAATAATAAGCAATTTTATAAAGATAGGCCTTCTTTAGGTTGTCTTAGTGACAATAGTTTTATGGATTTCATTAGAAATATACATCTTGCTGCAACATTTAAATTTACTTTACTTATATTAATGACATGATTGATCAATTATAAATGATCATATTTGTTGTAATTGTCTTTTCTTTTTTTTTAACTAAAACCTATTTTTGGCATGTTGTGTTCTTGAGCGATGACATACCAAAAAAGTACTTTCCATATTCTCTCTGAACTTTTATGTTAACCCATGTGTGACATATAGCTCTTTTCTTTTTATTACCAGCCACCAAGGATAAAGTCTGCTATATCAAGCTTTAGATTTATTCAGAAAAATTCTCAAACTTTCTCTTTTATCACCCTCCATCCTTCACTGCATGATAATGAAGTTCCTCTTGTTAAATAGTTCATGAATGATTCATTCACAACTTGACTAGTCAACTCTGAACTCAGGCCCGTTTGATGATTGCTTACAGGCAGATGTTGGCCAAGTCTGAACTGCTGTTGTTAGCAATTATTTGATAAACAACTGGCTAATATGCTAATTGTTAGCAGCTGTCATTGAAGCTATTGTGTGTGTTTACATTCTGGTTACAGTAAGACGCTTGACTTCACCTTTTCCCCTTTGGGCATAACTGTTCCCCACTACCCCAGCTATGAGGAAAATATCCACCCTTATCTGAAAAGGTCACCTGTTTTGCACAAAGCACACCATTACCTTGTTCAGTTAGCATAACGTAATCAACCGATTTTCGCAACTGCCAACATATACGCAGGGACAAAACTGTAAACAATGAATGCCTTGTTCACTTTTCTTTTGCTGAACAAGTGGAATTCCTCCTTCTTCCACTGTTTTGGTTTGAGCCTCCCTTAGGAATGTTTTTTACCGGGGCACATTCCTCACTCTCAGCTCGTGGTTTTCTACGGTGTCTCTGTTTAGTTAGCCGTGTGCTTTGGACAGCTGTGTCACACACGCAGAAGCACTGCTTCTCCACGACAGTCAAAACCATCATAAAGAACATAGTTTGATTCGACCGTCGTAAGGAACTAAAGTCAGAAAAACAAACACAAAACTAAATGTAGCTAAGGATGATATAATAGATAGTGTTCTCTTGCAAATAGTTAACTTTTATGTTTATGTTTTTACATGTGTGTGTTTGCTATACCTGCTGGGTGGGGCCCCGAGGGTACCATGACAAGAGCCATTAAAGTTTATAAGTGTGAGGCCCGTCTGTCAATCATACTGACAAGTTGCCCCTGTCCAACTTTGCTCTGAGTTGAACTCAGTGAAACTCCAGAGAACCCCTGACCTTGCTTTGTATGGGATTCAGGCAAGCTGGATTAGCTCAGGTTGGTTCAAACTAGGCTGGGACAGACTTGGGGGTTTTGGAACAGAGTAATGTTAAAATTCTGCTGTTCCCTTCAGCCATAACCACTTACCCTCTAGGATAAGTCATCAGCGTGGGTACATTTTTGGACACTGTTGGACTGAATTGATTGAAAGTGGTATTCTTGAGCCCATGCAACTGTATTGATTTTGAATGTTTCTTATGGTCCTAACGGGCTTGAAGGTAAAGTATCATTTCTCTCATGACCTGTGCGTATTGAGAATTCTTCAGATTTCCTGAATATTTATAAAATTATTATATTATGATATCTATTAAATTCTGTGGGTGTTTTGATCTACCAAATATTTGCAATATTGCGCTCACTTTAGTACTTACTGATAATTATCTGACAGAGTATCATGCCAAGTAATAACACATTGTGGCTTGGGGAAAAAAAGTTATAATTAATGATGCTCCTTTTATACAAACCCTGACACTATCCTGTCACAAATTAATCAGCAGATTGCACATTTTCTCATAGTGGTGTTACTTTGTTAGCCTTTCTTATTTTTCAATTAATAAATTGCCCTTGTCAAACATTATTTGCCATGTTTTTCAAGCGGACTGTTCCATCTGTCACTTGAACTTGGTGAGAGTCCATCAGTATTACAGATGTAATACTGTAGCTTAAATTGTATGTGCGTATCCACCTCAGTCTGTTTCTGAGTGTTTGATGTAGCTTTCCGTGCCACAGTAGGATTAAAGTATCCATCTCTCCAGAGTACCTTTTTCACTTGCCCCTTTAAACCTCTCCCATACACTATTTGTTTTAATTAAAAAAGAAATGTTCAGCCTGGCCAGCTCGGACCAACGAATACTGATTTTTATTTTTCCTTTTTGAAAAAAAATATTCTGTGTCCCTCTTTACATGTTATGATGTGCTACAAAAGAGATGCATCTTGTCTGAAGTGGTCCATACAGCTGAATGAGATGAGGAAAAAAATAGTTGTATGAGCTGTAAGCCAAATGGGGAAATTGAATCATTCCGGGCAGGGAAGGCTCTTTGGGGAAATGTTATGTTTTACCTGAATTGTGGCTTTGAAATTTTCATAGACTTAGACTGAGGTCTGTGTGTGTGTGAAGGTGTATGTGTGTGTGTGAGTGTGTGTGTGTGTGTGTGTGTGTGTGTGTGTGTGTGTAGCTACATGTGTTTATATGAACAAGTAGTTTCCAAGTGCATTCATCTGTGCGAACTCACACGTGTCCTTCAAGTAGGACGCAGAACAAAGCACACACTGTAGTTTGTGCCGAAGAATAGCAAAGCTGTCAGTGAGTGGGAGGAGGTCTGCAGTGTGCATCTGCACGCATATTTTTTTTTTATTGTGTCAGCAGCTCAAGATTGTTCCCAACCTCTGGACAGACTTAACAGTGGGTTGTGGTCTACATTTCAGAAAAGATTTTTCAGACCAGGAGGGACCAACGCGAGGTCAAATGAGGCTTGGGAGAAACTTCTCTTAACACCTGTCTGACATGTTCACAGAAATACTCATTTAGCTGCGCATTTGTGTCCTTAAAAGAGTTCGCTGTGAAATTTGATGCGTTGAACTGATGGTTCCAACACACATTTGCACCTTACCACTCTCAGCAGTGCAAAAGTACTATAGTAACATATAACATACTGTACGTCTTTCCAAGATTGTTAGATTTGTGTTCAATTTGTTTTGGGGTTTTGGTTTTTTTTTGTTCTTTCGTTTTCTTTCTTACATGTATTGTGCTGAAACTACAGAAATAATGGAATTAGATCTTGAGTTCCCTCGCAACCCCACTAGGTATTAGCTGTATGGATAATGCATAGATGGTTGGATGGGTCCTGATTTAAACTGGAAAAAATTTGCAATACCTTCAATGTTGTAATTCTTTCAGATGGCCCCAATTCCTGACGAGGTGCTTCAGCAGAAGCCAAATGCCAACTCTGTGCACTCAATGGAGAAAGTAATCGAAGCTCACAGTGAGTCAACCATTTACACCTCCAGTAAATACATCAGCTGATGACATGTCACGCAAAACTGTGGTTCGCCTTTATCACTTACACTTTGAGCACTTGTTGTGGCCTTTATAAAGCATTGTTTAAACGTGTAGGAGTTTAATTACCAACAGCTTAAAGGTTTTATACCTGAAAATATATGCAAACACACGGTGGTGTGGTGGTTAGCACTGTCGCCTCCCAGCAAGAGGGTTCTGGGTTCGAATCCCGGGGGAACCAGGACCTTTCTGGGTGGAGTTTGCATGTTCTCCCTGTGTCTGCGTGGGTTCTCTCCGGGTTCTCCGGCTTCCTCCCACAGTCCAAAAACCTGCATGTTAGGCTGATTGGAGATTGGGGAAATTGCCCTTAGGAGTGAATGTGAGTGTGAGTGGTTGTTTGTCCTTGTGTGTCTCTGTGTGTGGCCCTGCGATAGACTGGCGGACTGTCCAGGGTGTACCCTGCCTCTCGCCCGTTGACCACTGGGATAGGCTCCAGTTCCCCCCGCGACCCCATGAGGGAATAAGCGGTATTGATAATGGATGGAAATATATGCAAACAATTGATAAGCCAATATTTCTCTTCAACTTTTGCAGCTTGCTGTTCATCAGTTTTTTTTAAAGGCAATGTCCTTTGATTGGATGGAGGATATGATTGGAAGATTCTATTATGTACATCATTATTAATGGAGAATCACCTCAGATAGCCTGAGAATGCCGCAAAAACATGTTACATTCAGCTTTGGTAGGATCATATAAAGTTTAGCTTAGGTAACAACCATTTTAACAATAATAATAGTTTTAAATGGTAACCCGTTGACCTGTGTGACATATGTGTCTATTTCAAACCTAGTGAGATTCATGGGTCACATCAAAACTTTGACATCCTTTATCTTTTCAAGGTAAATACTGGCGTTCGCTGCAACGCTCCGCCTCCACTCTGGGTTCTTCACTGAGTGAAGCCCTCCAACATGATGCTGATGAAGCTGAGACTGTTTCTGCCATGGCCTCATTATCTTTCGCTAACAACAACATTGGGAAGAGGTTTGTGTTTTTTTTTATCAGTGACTTAACTGATCATCCTCTAGTTTTATGTAGTAAAAAAAGGTTTAGCATTAAGTGTGGTTGCTTTCTTGCTCTAGAGCAAGTAAAGTCAGATTTGCTTTAAAAAAATCTCTGTCGAAAGGCTAACTCCCAGGTATTGACAACAATTTTATTCAACTCCCTCCCTTTAATGGGTAGGATGTCTGACAGTGATGATTCTGTGAATAATAGAGCCAAACCAATAGTATTGGGTGGAAGATACCAAACTACAAAATCATGAAAAGCGCTGAATATCTAAAACTGCTAAAGGTCTAAAACAGCTGTTGTTTTGTTGATTTGGTGTGTTAGCCTATATCACTGTATCACTGTATTAAAAGAGAAAATAAATCAAACTAAAAAGCCTGTTTAACCCTCTACAGCACATTGCTCCCCTCAGGCAAGTCCCAGGCCTAGTATGTGTGAATTTAAGTAATGCCATGTGAGAGACTCTACCAAGCATACATAAAGGTGTGCATTCCTATTCTTGTCTAAAAAAGCAATATTTGAAATGACAAAACATGTAAATTAAACAAATCTGTGTGTTTGAAGAGGTAGAGAAGGTTTTCAACAGGTGATAAGGCCTATTTTCTGTTTTGCAAATTCAGAAGCCAGATTTTCCATTTTGTTGCACCAGGGCAACTTTGTGCAATAAGGGTTACATCTTGAGGTCATTTATAATTTCATGTATCGCACAAAATAGCTGTAAAAGCAACACTGCCTTCATCCTTATTCTGTTTTATTTCTTCTTTTAACAAAGTTGAACAGAGAAATGGCCATAAGACCGTTCAGATGGAGGACAGAGCAGGATCGGCATGTTAGGGATGTCCTACCTGATATTGACAGAAGAAAAGGAATGTACAAAAATGTTTAACCTAATGTAGTTCTGGTACATAATCACTCTATGAAACATTTTAATAATTAAGGGTTCAAAAATATTAAATATATTGATATTAACAATAGAATTACCCACAGTGAATAGGAAAATTCAAATAACAAGAATTCAGCATGTGCCACCAAGGTGTGTGCATTAATTGTTTTAACATCCAACCCTCTCATAGTGTACTATAAAAGCATTGGCTGTATGGTTGTCTATATTTTGTTTCATACATTATAATTATTTTTATTTTGACTTGGAAGTGTTGTTTCCTAAGTGAATGACTTTCTTCCTTCGTTTATGATGTTATCTTTTTCACAGGACTGAAGAGGAACCAATGGAAGAGGAAGTTCCAATGTAAAGGAACATGTTCAGCCTTTGACCACTCAGAGGAATGTTCTTCTTTGACTACGTTTTATACAGCCCATCACATCTGATTTCCGGTAGAATCCTCTCCCACGTTTTACCTCTGCCATACCATAATGGCAGCTTTCTTTTGACAGGCAACAAACTGAGCTAAAAAATGTGGTCCTCAGAGAGAGCGGATGATATGATTGATGCTGTCAGCAAAGAGCGATGCTTTGGTGATCAGCTGTGCACTTGGTCACTGTCAGCATAATGTATAGTAATTAATGATATTAGACATGCCAGTTCTCTTAAAACACTAGAGATGTCCTTTTTGACTGCCCGTCTTGACCACACGCAAATGTTCTGCTGTCCTCTACTTTTCATATCATTTTGTCTTTCTGTGCTTTATCTTAAACTCCTTACCTTCATCAATACCACCAGAGCTATTTGGATTTTTACACTGCAGTGAGAAAGGAAACAAAGCTGGCATATTTTCTGTATTTTTCCCAGATTTTTTAATAGTTGAAATGTCAGCAAGTGTCTAGGATTCCATAATTACTGTCAATGAAAGACTGAGCCTTTGTGCCTTTTCCCCCTCTTTTCTCTGTGTTTTTTTAATAAAAGAAAATCACCCGGTGGATTATATGTTGAAATCCACTTAAAGAGCTTTGCCTTAAATATACATGTTGGTTCAAGGCCTCCTCTCTCCTGCCCCTCAAACACTTCTATCCTGACGAGACATCAGCTGCCTGTATATTGTTGCCACATAAACTGGAGAAACTTGACATGTCTACCTAAACTTTTCTTCAAGTGGTTGACTGTCTTTCTCTCCATTTTTTTTTTTTTTTTTGCATATTGCACCCTTTTCAACATGGAAGGTAGTTCACAACCACAATTTGGAAATGTTTCAGTCGATAAGAAAGTTATCGTTGGGATTTTTATGTTTCTGTGGATCACATGAACATCAATTTTCCTCAGTTAAAAGAAGTTAAGTTTCAAGCATTATACAGTATAAGCAGGACATATTAAAACTAGAATCCTCTATATCTGGTAATGGTTAAGTCAAAATATTGAAGATTATCCTCATGTGTCAACCGTTCATGCTTCCCCACATGCAGAGGAGCAAAGATTAATAAGCAACAATAACATCGGTGTCACCTTCTGCAGATGATTCAAAGAAATAATTAATGACATATCGGCCAAATTCGTTAACTTGCCTGCCTTAAGAAAAACCTGTTTCGAATGGTAAAACATAGCAAGGACAAAGATTAAGCAGCAACAGTAATATCGGTTTTACTTTCTGCAGATTATTCAAAGATATAATTAACGACATATCGGCCAGGTCGTTTAACAAGTCTGTCTTAAGAAAAACCCGATTCGAATGGTATTAATGCCGATACCCCCTGGATTTTTCCAGAGGCGCTAACTGCTGGTTTAACATCTTTAAACCCTTGCTAAGCACAGCTGCTCTCCAAATGGCAGGTGCTTTGAAACAGGTGCATGTATATGTTGTTCTGTTCACGCCGTGCTCAGTGAACAAAAGTTAAAAGTGGCTTTCCATTTCAAATATTACTTTTTGACTTACCAGTAGGGAATTTTTAGCTTCATATTCTTCTGCCCTGTAAAATCAGATTATCTTTATTGTAGAATCCAATAGAAATGACAATTGTTTTACTTACTTAAACCAGCTATTTTTATATTTACAGATTTGGTGGCTCCTCCCGCCACCGTGTTGCTACAGTAAACAAGTTTAGCCAAACATTGTCTTCCTGTCACACTTTTAGAGACCAAATCTAGTTTAATCTCCATGCTTGGAAAGAATAATGGGGTTTCGTCTGTTGCAATTTGCAATTTCCAGGTTCACCGCCAAATGTAAACAAAAAAACTGACACATGATCTCAGACATTGGAGAATCAAGAAGGTGAAGGTTGTGTTTAATCTGAGCATAAAATAGAATAATAAAAATGTTTAAACTAGGAATGCACAGATAGATTAACATTAACTGATGGCAGTCATTTGTCTGTTTTGTCCTGGTTGTATCACATCTTTGACACAATTGACGTGATTGATACTGTTGGCTAAAGTAATTAGTTAAGCAACAAACTGTAAAGTGACTTACCCTTAGTTTAAGCAGTCTTTTTAAAACACTAATTTCTTTCTAGAAATATATTTATGTAAAGGTTTATCATGAAGATTTTTTTTGTGTATTTGTATGCAATAATTTGTGCTTATTCAAAGAAGTGCAAATTGATGAAATATTGGTTTATGCTTTATATTTAATTTCTTTTACTCCAGCATTTCCCGTGCATTGAAGGGAAAATAAATGAACAAATGACTGTTGACAGAATTATATTTAACATTGCCATCAGTATTGGTCTAGCAGTTCTCAAAAGGTGCACTCTTAGTTTATACTAAAATAAAATGCAAGCTTTATTTTTGTTCTTAGTTAAAAAAGTCTCAGTGAGGGATGGGGGGGTCAGACTGTGACCGCTGCGGCCAGTGTGCAAACTTCCAGTCTGTAACCCTCTTTTCTACTTGTGCTCAGTCCTCCATGTTACTACCTTTACTTCATGTTATTTTCCAGTGAACTGAGGACATAGCGCTGTGGTGTTTACTGTTGTTTACTGTGCATATCACAATGATCTCCTGAGGATTCCTGCCACATACATCACTGACTAATTAATTCTTTCCATTGTTGAACTTCCTTTTGTTGCCCTTCTAAGGACTCTGATGACTTACTTTTCTTAAATGTGTTTGTGTTTTTTGTACATGCTGTCCACTCTGCCCTGCAGTTACATTGTAAAGCTGACGTACTTCACAAGAGAGTATGGCAGGGATGTTTTTCTTATGTGCACATCACCTGGATATTTCTCTGCTTTTAGGATTTCTGTGGAAGCGTAGGGATGACAATGTTTCCACTTTGTAAAATGATGGATAATTGTGTATTTACTGTTTGTTCATAGCAGATTTATATATTAAAGAAATTAGTATGTTAAGTGTATATATACACACATACATCATGAAATGCTTTGACTTTGATATTGAAGTTGGTATTGAAAAATGATACTTTTCATGGGTCAAACACGCCCCTGTGAGGGTGTAAACTGACGGCACCATTTGTTGTTTTCGGTTACAATTGTCTCTAGCAGCTTTTTTTTCACACTGTCTTGTATCTTTTGACGGCGATGACATTATTTATCCCACTGGTACCACAGCACTGTTACAGGAGGGATGCAGTTGCCCTCATGTCTGCCACACAAATTCATGCACATATCTACCATTCCATACATTTTAATGTTGTATGTCTAGCTGTAAAAAAAATACTGATCTTGGGCAGATTCACTTGGCTTTAAATGTTTTAGAGATTGTCAGCTCAGAATTAAAAATTCATAATTTTGTTTTTTCTTCCTTCAAGGTTTAAAAGTCAAGGCTGAAACAGCTTTGAAAGAGTGAAGGAGAGTTAAGTTTAAATTATAATAAGGTCACATGAAATCACTTAACTCTGATCCAAAATGATTTAGTTTTAATTTGAATCAGTTTTTCTTGTATAGTCATGTATAATCCTCCGTAGCATGTGAGCAATGCTTCTAGGACTTCAGAGTGGCCTCTGGTTTAACAGGACTGTGCCTGCATTTTAGAGAAAGACTAACTGTTTCAGACAGCATCACATCAATATTTTTCTCAAATGACACTAACATTCTATTGCTAGCTTTTATTTCAAGTGGAAAGTTTTGTAAAAAAAGACAAATGCCTATTGTGAATATGATTACATATCATGTGCTGATATTTGATGATTGTTTTTTTCCAAGAAATACCAGCCCTGAACCTTTGTGTAGCACTGCCAGTCTGGCTTTCCTACTGTTAAATGCTTTGATTTCTCAAATGCAGCCAAAACTATCAGAGTGAAGCTATTTTGGCCATCTGTCTTCACAGTTAGTCTTAAAACAATGTCCAGTTACCAAAAAAAAAAGAGAAAAAAGGCAACATTCCATTATATTAGAATTTCCATTTATTAGAAGCCTGGACTGCTTTTGTAAACCCTCATAGCTCCAAGAGCTGTTGGTTTCTTTGGGTGGCCTAGTCTTCACTCCACTCCTCTTTTCTTTCTGCATGGTCTGTATGTTTGCATGCACTGCCTGTCTGTGTGTCTGTCCCTTGCCCCGTACCAGCAGGAGGGATGGAGCACTGAAGGACATTATAACATTTATTGTAATCCTGAATGTCTTATTCACTGCGGTTCAGTTTCTCGGTTGGTGGGGCTTGGATGTTCTCCATTTTGTTCTTTTATTTGTAGCATATTGAATTATCAAATCTAGAAGACAAGGTGAATATTCTAGAAAAAATAATTATCTAGCACAAATAAGAGATTTTATCGTATTTATGTAGACAAACAAACTGTACGAGTAGGGTGCTTTGTAAACTGCAGCAAAAGAAAGGGCATTGTTTTCATTCTGAGCAAGATGGAACTGTTTTTGGGAAGACATTTTCATTCCTTGTTACATCTGGACTTATAAGGGCTCCATCCAGATGCAGGGTCATTGTGACGGCAGTCCATTCCAGTAAATAAGCCAGTTTTCTCTAAGACCACTGTGGTTAAAGTAAACAAACAGCTTTAGGTTTACATATGTATTAAATGCATACTCTTTTTTTTTAAACAGCTATGTTTTTGACTTATTCTGGCAATGTTACTGAAATGATACATTTTTCTCTGGAAAATTTTGCTCTAACATGTTGTCTTTGACATGTACAGTATAAAGTATTGTTTTGGAAAAATAGTGTCTGCACTCTGTCATTTTATGTCAATCAGATTGGTTACTGGGGAAAGTGTGTCAGCGTTAGGTCTAAATGATGAAGATGCACATGGCGAGCTTTTTTCTGGCATGATATCCATAATACCTTACCCCTAATATTGAGATTCTAAGCTTTTTCATGTCATCTAAGCTAGCTGAAATTGTTTAATTTTGTTTATGAATTGTAGAATACAGGATCAATTTGAAATACAGTTATGAAAATAGCTTGATTAACAAAATAAGTTTAATTAATTCACTTTAATTAATGCACTATAGTGATATCTAGATGATTTAATATTTTCTTTTTGAAAACAAAGTATTTTTAGTTCTCCTTTGTGTGTCTCTGTATATGTACAGTATTTGTGAGGCAGCCCGGTGAGTTGAAATAGCAAATAAAAGAAAAAGTCATATAGTCAGTTTTCATCAAACCAAAACTCAAATTAAATAAAAAGACCCAGGTGCCTTCAAAGAGTAATTTTATAAAGGATCTAGTTTTTCAAATAGACTTTAATCAAATTATTTTCTTAGAGGTGTCATCAGGAGAAACAATCGAGCACAGAGCAAAGATCTGACTGTTTTGAATAAGTATTTATTTTTTTATTAATTACGTCTTCATTTAACTAGATAAGTATATCTCTAGAATTAAATTCTCATTTACAATGATCACCTGAAGACTTTTATCAGTGTCATGAGACATTGAGTTTTTTTCTTATTCAGAGTCTTTAGGACTGCCTTTTTTTTAGATTTATAGAAAGCAGTGTTAGTTTTGTTAAATGGTAGGTTCAGTAATTCTCAGTCTGCAAAAACATCAGAAACACTGTTTATATGTTGTGTGACATTGGACTGCACAAGAGACAGGAGCACACTATGCTCATTAGAAGTTCTGTACGTTTCATGTGTAAGGATAACCCTACAGACTGTTGTTTTAAGGATTAGGACTGATAGTCTTGTTACAGTACACAGTAGATAGAGGAAAAACATTATTATAAACAATCGCAAAGTTAAACAAAACAAAACATTCAAATTTACATAATCTGAAGTAAGAAAGTAAATTTGAGTGTTTATTAGATGCCATTTTTTTCAACAAGGTGTTTTTATAAAAAACGAAAAGCCTAGGAATTACTGGACCACAGTTGTTCCTTTTTATAAGAAGGCATAATTTGCTTTATAACTTCATGTAAACCAATCAAAGACGAGATCAGATGCTAAATAAAAAATTATATTGTTTTGTGTACATGTCAACACTTAGAAATGCTACAACTCGGTAGAGAGATGCAAATTACAGATGAAATCTCTCATTTGAAAGTTTGACACTGCAGAACTTGGAAGGATTCACTTTCCAGTTTCTGGAAGACATTTCCATCAAGCAGCTCTACAGGAAGAATTCTGCAGTATAACCAAAGGTGATAGGCTATATCTCATCACATGCATCTGAAAGTCCTACTCTTTGACTGTCATCAAAGACCTCAGAGATGATGGAATAACAGCCTGGCAACCCTCCGCACCTGACTTAAATCTTGCTGAAGACTTATGGAGCTCTTCTCAAATGTGACATTTATTGTGAGGAAAGATAGTTCAAAGCTTTGAGAAGCATTTGGGAGGCTGTGCTTTCAGCTTCAGTAAATGTTGATCATGAGCAGATGATGACACTGACAGTATGCATAGATGGAACACTCACATCAGCACAAAAGTGTATATCCTGGTCCCAGATTGATTTTTTCTCATTTAAAGGGCAAAAAGTATTCTTTCTTGTTTTGTGTTAATGTGTTAAAGTCAAATCCAACTTTAACATCAGAAAATGTCTTCCCTTAATACTTTTGTTAAGTGTCTATGAAATATGGACATGGAGCATAGCACACCCCCTTTTTTCCGTAACCCGGACATATCATGATGTAATGAAAAAATACTTTTTTTTTTTTTTAAAGATTTTTTTGGCTCTAGTGGCCTTTAATGACAGTAGGTTGACAGGAAGGGGGGCAGAGATAGAGAGGGGGTGACCTGCGGGAAAGGGCCGTGGGCCGGATTCGAACCCACGGCCACCCGCTTACGAGCACAGGCTCTGTATATGGGCCGCCCGCTCTAGCCATTAGGCTACGGCTGCGGCCCAAAATTTTTATTGTCTTTGCCATATCTTTATATTGGGTTAATACAAGCTCAAATACAATCTCAGTTGAATTACATCACACATTGTGCTGTCAGGCAGATACAAAAGGAAAAGCCAAGTACATTATAAGCCTATAAATGTTGCAGAACTTCATTCCAGCTTCATTGTGGATCATGTTTTCTGTCAGAGTGAACTTTAGAAAATACAGATATAAAGAGTATTCTTTAATTTGTTCAGTCACGTAGCTGCAGAACGAGCCCAAATCATCAGCCCTCCCACCCACGTGCTCGACAATTGATCTGGGGTGTGTGCTGATGTGCAGCTGAACATTATTCCAGAAGTCTTGTGGTTTGTTCAGATTCAGCTTTACAAATCAAAGCAACGCTGCAATGTCCATTTTAGAGCGAGAAAATATTTTCTCCTTTACATCCATCCATTTTCTCAACCGCTCTGAACCCAAATGGGGTCGCGGGGGCACTGGAGCATATCACAATGAGCGAGAGGCGGGGTACACCCTGGACGGTCCGCCAGTCCATGGCACGGCCACACAGAGACACACAAGATGAACAACCACGCACACCCACTCCTAAGGGCAATTTGGAGTGTCCAATCAACCTAACATGCAGGTTTTTGGACAGTGGGAGGCAGCCGGAGAACCCGGAGAGAACCCATGCAGACACAGGTTAAAAGCCTAGTAGAAAGTGTGGCGAGAGCCTTGTGGTGTTTTTGTGTGTGTGTGTGTTTGTGATGGTAGCAGAAGGACACGGCTCACTTCCTAGTAGTGTATGCCTGTTGCTTATATTACATATACAATCCTTTCCAGGTTAATGGACAGCCCCAAATGCTCCTTGGCATTGTGTTAAAACAACTGATTGCATCAAAGCAGCTATCTGAGCAAACTTTTGCTTTTTTCTGCTTTTTTACACACTCACTGATGATCAGTTAGTCCAGGTAATCTGATTAGCAGTGACTCGTTAATTTTATTACCAAGAAGGCAAAAGGGAAGTGCTTAGTTCTTTACTAATTTCTTCTGCGTTTTGCATTAATTTTCTTGAATAAACAAAAATAGAGAAGCGTGTTGTGTGTCTTTCCTCTGATGCTATATTGATCTTATTTAAAAATGGAAAGACATGGTTGATAATACATTTCCTGTTTAAAGCACTTTTCAGGGTAGTGCAGGACACTTACAAATAAGAGTAAAACAAATGACATAATAATTAAATGTATACTTTTAATTTTAATTACCACAACATACAGTTAATCTGACATTAAAAGCACAGATTTGTTTTACCTGATCTAACCAGGCTTGAATCAATGCCACAGAAGTACAGATCTTTATCACTTATATTCTCAAATCCAATAATCTGAATAAATTGATAATTAAGTTGTTAAAAGTTCATACAACTTGGTATGAAAAAAAATCATCAAGACCTGTAAACAGCTGTTTGACTAAAAGTGGAGTGTTTTTCTTCTGAAGTTCAGAAATTATTTGCAAGAAGGAACAAGGGTCCCACAGTAGTTTTGACCTGGATTAGCCACCCATTTGGAGAGGTCAGAGGTCTGGCCTTGTGTCCAAATAAACAGAAGTGAATCCTTGTCGGAGGTGGAGCTACTGCTGAGACAACAATCCAAATGTAAACAAAACCGATCCTGCCTTTTCTCCGCACAAATAAATACACCACTCTCTGCAATCAGTTAAACAATTCATTTAGTGTATAACAGTGTCATAAACTGCCACAAGTCTTGTATGCTTGTCATAATCTGTGAATCATGAAGCTTTAGGACACTGCGTGGTGTCAAAGGGCCGTAGAGAAGTTCCCATCTTCAGTTTGCTGCGGCAATAAGTGCCAAAAACAGAGACATGAGAGATGGGATTTACCATCTTATGCCTGAAAGACCGCTGAGGGCTAAAAAAAATAAATACTGGACAGTATCTGATGGGCCTATTGTATTGTTCTTCTCAGGCTGATCTAGACCGTCTTTCTGCTTGGCCGTAATTTGTAATGGAAAACCAACTAAACCGCATAGAGCCATGCCAGGCCAAACCGTATCAGGCTGATTAGGCACTAATGAAAATATGCCATAAGTTCACTGTATCTCTGCTTCACCCCTGCGGCCTCAGTCAGGTCAGGTCACAGAAGAGGTGGAGTCCTGGGTGATAAAATTGAATCCCCCTCCTTGGAATCCAACCCACAAAATGGCTGCCTCATCTCCACAACAAAGAGCTTAAATGTCTATTTTATTTTTCCTATCACCACAGTGACATTCTGGTCTGCGGGAGCTCTTCTGCCCCGCTCATCCTCTCGCAGCGTCAGTCGTTATCAGTTTGGTCTGTTATTACCAAGCCACCCGCGTGCTTAAAAATGCCTCATCCTCCCAGCTGTGCTCATCACCACACTTCTTAATTGCAGGTTCAAGTAACTCCAAATAGGCGACGAGGCTTTGGCCAGCTGCTTGAATGACAAGCCAAACTAATTATAGAAGAGCTATTAGAATTAAATTTAGATAATCAACACACAGAGACATGTGTAAACAGAAACATTTGGAATAAACATCTATATTGGGGGTGCAGTTCAGCAAAGGCTATGAACTCAGTTTTGCATAAGTCCAGCAAAACTGAGAACAAATACAACCTGTTTTATTTTTAATGTGGCTTAAAAAACTATGGAAATGTACATTAGATCAGTTAGCTGTTTCCTACACTATATGTTTCACTGGTTAGTTGGCACTTCTGATCTGTATTTGAAAAGTTCACTTTGATTTCTGTGTCTTAACACTATACATGGGTCTGCTGTTCAGTGTGCTCAGACAGGAAAATGGCAAAGGAAGACCAGAGAATTCAGCACGAGTGTGTCAAACATATATTATACATACTGTATATGTATTTATACATTTATGTTTTACACCAGTTTGTTTCTGTATGGCCCTGTGATGGACCAGCGACTTCCCTCACTGCAACTGCATTGGGAATAAATGGTATAAAAACTCAATGGATGAATTACACCAGGTGTAATTAAGATTGAATACTCATACTCTGCGACTAGGGAGGTTTTATCACCTCACATGCACCAAATGTGTGGGTTATGTTTGATTAAACAATGAGTGCCCTCCTTAAATGCCTCACACTGCCCTCTGGCTCACATACAGCATTTGTCTTTCCACCAGTTAAAAGTAAGTTTTTTTATAGTGTAATCCATTCACTGTGGTTACATTTAATTTTTTCTATCTGACTGTTCCCATGAGTAAAGTAGAACTTTCATGTTCTCAATTTTGGAAGTTTAGGTAATGTGACCCAGAGATCTCTCCTGACGCCAAAGTCATCACTTGGGCCTATGATGAATAGAGGCTGAAGGGGAGGTATGCTGGCATGTTACCTTAGAAAGAAACACCTTCCATCCTTGAGAGAAATTCAGTTTAAGGTGAACTGAACAGAGGTCTAGGTGCTACTCATAGTTTACCTTGTGCTGCAGGCAGCCTCTGCGTTTTATCTCATGATAATTGAACTGCGTTCCATTAATAGAGAGAGCAAAAGCAGTGACTCATTATTATCTGCCAAAACTTAAGGTGAGGCATGGACACATAAGGCTGCAATGGCTTTTGCGAGTTTGTTTACGTGTGAACACTGTAAACAGGAATGCTTACGAATAATTCCATAGGAATTAACACCGTCCATTGTCCTTTCGTCTATACCAATAGAAATAGCTTTATTTATAGGTTTTGCCAACAACGCTGATGCTTTATCAAATGTTTACAATCTATGCTCTGAAATTTGATAAATGTGTCTCAAACAAACACATCTTCCATACTTCCTTTGTCCAAACTGCCTATTTGTACTAGGGTCGCAGCAGAAACATATTAATACAAACGTGATCAAAAAATGAATGCATTGTTTTTTAAATCTCAATTAACAATGTGTTTATTCAAATATCATGAACAACAAAGAAAAAAATGGAACAGATCAACAAAAGGTCAGAAAAGTGGTTAGAAATATTGAACTGGGGAACATATTGCATCTCTTAGGTTTAATTGGCAACAAGTCAGTAACATGAATGCCTATGAATAGAATACATTAGAGAAGCGAAGTTTTAGCAATCTGCTAAAAAAAAAAAACTATCTACATTTTGGAGAGCTTTTCAGAATTTCTGACCGATGCTTCTGAGTGTAAAAATATGTAGACTTTGAACATTCAGGCATCCACGGTTAATACGATCACTAGGTTCTGTGAATCTGGAGAAATTTCTATGTGCATCCATTTTCTATTAACTTTTTACAGTTTCCCAAATGTTTCATTCAGGGCATGTTGTTCGTAGGACAAATGTAGTAATGTTGAATCCACAGACTAAAGTGAAACATTCAGCATTCTTCTTTCTCTTTGTCTCACGCACATGCACTCATGCTTGGCCTAGTGGGAATACTTTTACAACTATATCATCTAGCCCCATCCAAAATCCTCAACGATCCCCCAATGAGCTGTCACATTAAAGAGTGAGTATCTGGTGATGGGAGGATGATGATTAATACAGCTTTATTTTTAAAGATTTTTTTAAAAGAACTTTTTCTTGGGTGAGCATTAATACTGACACTCATTTGTTGTTGCTGTAAATCCATATGTTGAAAAAGTCCTTTCACATGATAACTGACACCAATATCAACAAGAAAGACATAAAATGAGTGCATAAGTAGAAGCCTCTGGTACATCATCGTGGACTTTCATAATATTCTTGAAAATATAATCACAATAATATCTGTTTAGGCGAGAGGGGTTTAATCAAGGTCTTCCTGAAACTATAATAACAAATTAATTATTTTTGGTTCATTTTTAAGCTAAATGTGGTATTACAATAAGCAGTGTCCAAAGCAAAATTGGCTATTGTTGACACATGCATGTTCATTCAGTTGTGTGTCTGTCTGTAATCTTAATATATTTGCTGTGAAGGCCTTGATCCAGATTAAACAGTCAGTCAGTCAGTAAAGAATTGGATCATTATATGAATTTTAATGCAATTCAAGTGAAAAGAAAAAGAAACATATGATGTCTAAGGAATAAAACTGTTTTTTTTATTTAGTTGAATGTTTAAAACTAAATGTGCCCAAACAACAAGACATAGTGTTTTAATTTGCTGTCCTTGACCTTAATTTTTTTTTTCTATTCTTCAGGAATAAAGCATGACCTTTACTATAAGCATACAAACATGAGAAATTATTATAACTTTGTGAAAATGTAAAATAATCTTAAAACAAACTAATTTAATCTTTAACAAGTACTTGATCAAACAATCCTCTACTGTTAAAGGCAAGAAAATCCGCTGGAGGAATCCCGAGGATTTGTGTGTTGGTGGTGGACACAGCTGACTTTCAACTCTGCCAGCACAACACACAAACAAATGCAGTCACCAAAAAAGAGGTTAGCCTGCAAAGTGGTACAAGCTTAACCTTTGGATTTTTTTTCACCACACCAGATGAACACAGAATACCGTTGGAGGAGCTCAGAATATAAACCTTTACTTTATTCCCTTTTTTACTGCAAATTAAAGTTTTGTAGCTTTTTCCGTCTGATTTTACAGGAAACATCTGGATCTCTTGCACCACTGGAGCAAAGGCCCCGGGTGATTCTGTGCTACTCAGCTGTGAGGGCCCAGGATAATGAGCAGGTATCAAACGGGCCCCTATGGATAGGCAAGCCTTGTTAGGAAGGGCTGCCCAGCAACACTCAAGACCACCATGCCATAAGTGACTGTACACAGTTATTGTGAAAGATTTCAAGGAATTGTTTTACTGATATTGCACAAATCTAATAAACTTTATTCAAACAGACACTGATTACAAAGTAAAGTGGATTTTAAGCCATGATGTGTTGTCATGACCCTTGTTTTCACCTTCCTTAGGATACGCCTTATTATGTGTGAACTCACATTTATGTCACTCCTGAAGCAATAAGGTCAATATTAGTTTGAAATCACACCACTTTCTGTCCAATGAATAAATCCAGTTATAGCAAACTTGAAGCAGTCAGCAATCAGCACTCTGGGATTGTCTCTAAAAAACACAGCTGCTTCGCAAAACCTGCAAGCTGGCTCCCATTCAGTTTTTATCTGTCATAAAAGGGTGGATAATGTGAGGTGAGTGCATCAGCATCCACACAAGAGCAGCAGGAGGATAAAGCCACTGTGGTTGCAGGTGTTTCCCCTCAGACCGCATTTGCGGACCGTTAAAAAAAATCAGACAGACCACTACCGAAGAAGATGTTGAGCTCATATACAAAACAAACGACTTTGGATCGTATATATGTCACCATGTGAGTAATCATGACCTGGAAACTGAAGGTTATTTTTAACTATTCCAAGAAATAAATAGATTACTGTATTCTAAACGGGTTTGCTGTTGGGAAATTTTTAACATTAAATTTCGGTAGTAGACTCAGAATAATGCATCAACGGTCAGATTTCAATTTGCTGTAACAGCACCCGTTAACAATGGGCTCAAAGTAAACAGTTTGAATGTATTAAGAGTAAGTAGGAGAGATTCAAAGGAATTCCTCCAGTCGCCCACTTGGGGTCCTTTTTTTAACAATTCGGGTGGAGTATTTGTCTTTATCCGTGACTCCATTCGTTGTTATGGATTATTTCAGATCTGAATTTCTCCTTAATAAGACTGACGTTTGCTTTCAAGGCCTGTTTTTTAGCCAATGTTTTTTTTTCCAACACACACACATATAAATATATATACTTATTTTCTTGTGCATTGATCTAAGTAGGCTATTTGGCTTTACCGTTTTGTTTATTTGAAACGAACTCGTGCTCGTGTAAAATAAAAAAGAGAAGCATATTTAGTTAAAAAAATACCTGTTTAATAAATAAGCAAAACAAACAATGTCAGCTGGACGGAGCTCTGATGGAGACTTGCTAAAGAAATAAAAATCCATGCAGCGAATCACTCTAAAATTGCATTGGTCCCTTTACAGATATTGTTACACAAGTACAACATGTATTTATTTATTTATTTATTTATTTATATATCTATGCATATATATTTATACTTTGTTTTAAAGTCTTTGAAAAACTAAAGAACTGTGGAAGGAGGGCTTTACTGAAGGAAAAGGCCGTAAATGCGCGCTCTCTGTCCTCATCTGTGCCACAAACAGCTCCGAACTGTCAGAAGAACTGGGATAAATCTGCACTCACACATACACGCGCACACACACTCCACACGAATTTTGTAGTTGTGGGGTCACAATTATGCATCTCCACCATGCCGCTGAGGTCGATGGGTTCTTCAAAAATCCACTGCTGGTCCAAACTTTGAAGAAGTAAACAGTCTGTAGAATGAAAAGAAGAGCATAGAAATAGAGCAATTTTATTAATAAAGCATGTACCGTTTTCTTTTTGTGTGATGAAGGTGGTGTTTTTCTGTATCGTTACGCACGCGGGGGGTCATTAATGAATCAGTTACCAGCCACAGAGCAGAGTAATACCACATGCTGAAACCAAATAGAGTTAGACACTTTTTTCGTCTGGCCTTTGGTTTGACGCACCTGAGTGAATTCGTTTTCATTTGGCTTTGGATCTGTGAACAAGCCTAAAACAATAAAACTAAAAAAAAATCTACCTCCTTGGGGAACGATAAAGCCCAAGAGTAAACCACCTCGGCCACGATTTGAATAATATCCTGTTTTACTATTCTTGAATCCACGCGATAAACTTTCTAATCCACAACGCGTTAGTGTTTTGTTTCTGTAAGAAAATAAAGAAAATATTCGTGTTCAAGGCTGTAAGCCTGTTGGGCCCTCACACTTCACACCTCACGGACTTGTTATTTTCTTCCATGGTTTTGTGGGGAGCTGTTAAATACGGCTGAATTTCACTATGAAACTGAATGGGATTTAAACAAATACCTGTAATTAAATGTGTTCGTCTACAGCAGCGGGGCTGGTTTTAAAAATGCACAGTTACTGGGCGGTCTGTCTAAGAGAGAACTAAACAAACCCCAATTCTAGTTATTTTGACCTACAAGTATAACTTACTGCCATCTGCTTCTTGGATAGCTGCTGTGGGACTGTTATTTAAAGTCGCTTAAAAATAAACAGCCTATGTGATAGCCTGCTCTCTTTTCTCAAACACCGGTGGTTTGTCACAACACAGCGTGAGCCCAGTTAGGGGATCTGTCAAATAATCCAGGACGACTCAGTATGGCTGAGTCCTGTTGCCTCTTACTTGACAGGACTTTGGTGTTTTGCATGTCTTTTTCATTGAACTCCTTAAATGTAAAGACATAAAAACCTGCAAAACGAAGAGCAATAGCTCTTGTTTGACTCGCCTTGTTCTGGTTTGAACTTTCATGTTCTGCTGAGCTGCCCATTCCTGCGGTCTGCGCGCAGGAAAGAGCTCTATTGTGGATAGAAACTACCCGTGGTGGCACCACAGCTGCGTTTTCGGGTCTGGCCCAGTACTCCCAAACGTATAACCCCACTCATTTCAAATGCTAAGACAGGCTGGGCTGCACTGGTGGCTCATTTACTGCTTTTCTCGGCCAAACAAGGGGTAGAGAGAAAGCACAGGACCCTGAGTACTGTAGATATTGTGCATAGCGAGTGTCCCAAAGTTATCATTTGTATCAATCCACCCACCTCCCTTGGTTTTGTATCATTCACAAGAGTCCTGAACTATACGCTGTTGTTTGGTTTGTGGGCTGAAAGGTCCTCATGTGCAAAAAGCCCGAACGAAAACACACGCCTTCACAGCTCGGAGATTCCTCTTAGCTCATGCTTTAAAATGTTGTTGTGCAGCTTATGTGCAAGGACGTTTTGGGAATTGTCTCAGCATCTGGCTACATCCTCCCTCCAAATCCCAACCCTCCCCCTTACCACCAAAACTTCCATAATTTTTTGTTTGAAAAAAAAAAAATTGTGGAAGCCTTATTAGAATAATGTGAATGATGTGTCTTCACTCTGCATTGCCTGTTGTGTGTTTTTTTCAATTCGTGGTACCCACCGCTTTGGCATTGTGAAGGAAGGTCTCTGAGTGCTAGTGAGATGCTGACATAGACCAGGCACCCTCCATCCTCCACACGGAGAACGCGTAACTGAGTCTTTCGTGCGCTACGTAGCTGCAGCTGGACATCTTACTGTCCATCTCGTCGCTTTGCAGCACCTGACAGAGAAAGTCTATGTATCTGGAGGCCAGCTTCAGCGTCTGTATCTTGCTGAGTTTGTCCGAGGGCAGCGTGGGGATGATTTTGCGCAAAGACGCAAAGGCCTCGTTCAGAGACTGAGTCCGTTGCCTTTCCCGGACGTTGGCCAGGACCCGCTGGTTCTGCAGCTCCTCGTAAGACTGAGTGCTGCTCGGACTCTGCTTTTTCCCCCTCTTCACCGGACCCGGGCTGCTCCCGCTGCTGTCCTCACTGGACTTTTTGCTGTGCCTCCTCTTCCTCGCGAAGCGTTTCTGCTGTCGGTCCAGCTCCTCCTCGCTGGTCACCAGACTATCCACAGGGGAGACCGGAGAGCTGGAGCCCTCTTCCATTTCTTTCTTGAAGAAATGCAGAGATAGAGAGGAGAAAACGTTTTCCACCTTTGAAGCCGTGGTTACAAAATATATGGATATCCTTAGAGGCAAAGGGGGAAAAAATCAAGATGTCTGCGCTTTTTTTGGAAAACGGCTCACGCTGGAGATTGGCACACTTCTTCTTTCGCAGGAAGTTTTTCCCTTAAATTTTGGGGAATCTTTATCCCAGTTTCAGATGCTAAATAGTTTTGAGAGTGAGAGGGGAGTGGTTCGGAGGGCGGAGGGGGAGCCAGGGCTCCTCTAATAAGCATGAGGGAGCAGCCTTGGTTTCAAGTGTCTGAGTGACTGAAACAGGGCTCTAGTTTAGCCTACTGTGGGCAGTGGATACTTGCTATTTGGTTTCATTTTTCTCTTTTAGTTGAATCAGACATAAACAAGAAATTACAAATGTTTTTTGTGCTAACAAACTGCATGAGAAGTCATCCAAACTGGAACATTTTCCCCGTACATTTAACCAAAAAAATGTTTTAAATCTGAAATATTTGTCACATATCCCATGAATAAGTATTTTAAACGTAGGCGTTTAAAGATTACAATCCCACTCGTAAAACAGCAATTTGCGTTTTATTGATCTGCAAAATTGCGGTATCTTTTCAAGTTTTTTACGCAGCCGTCCAGTCAGTGTTATAGTTATACATTCATCACTCATGGTCACATGAAAATCTGGTTTAAAGTCACGGTCAACTGTGAAGGGTTTAACATCAAATTCATTGACCTGAGGATTTCGATCACGACGGCCTGTGAGCTCCCACAGTTTCACTGTTATTGAAGTCAAATAGGAAGGAAGCTTAAATTGACCCTCTGTCCAGCATGCTGTCCACCTTCTCATCCGTAACACTGTTTTTTTTCTCTTCACAGAGCTGCGCACAGGTGGCTCACATTAAAGGGTCAAGGATGCGATCCAGCGCTGAAACGCTGCGTCTTCCATTCAGATCAGCTGATTAGAGACTCTACTTCTCAATTCAATTCCATTTTATTTATATAGCGCCACATCGCAGTTGTCTCACAGCGCTTTCCAAACAGAGCAGGTCAGACCCTACTCTGAAGTTAACTACAGAAACCCAACAATACTTCTGCTCTCTGTAGCTGTGTTTTGTTTTTCATTAAAAGAATAATGAATATAAAAACAAGTTATCTTGCTTTCATGAGCTAGAAAACTATAAAAATGTTAATGAGAATTAGTTTTATTAGAAAACAAATAATCCACGGATAAGTCATAATCATTCAGTAAATTCTGTTAAAATGTAACGAGTGAAATACAAATTTCTCACCCTTCACGTGAATAAATGTTTGATCACTTTTTAGATAACATATCACTTCTGATAACATATCAAATGCAAACAAGTTTTTTCTTCACAAAGCCCCAAAATTAGAAATAAAACAAATTCTCAAATGTCTTCGCATTTACGAAAAGTTGAATAAGGCTCACGTTTATAGATCATAACAGTCATATATTTTATTGTTCAATTAAACTATGAAAATCAATAAAGGCATAGACTGTAAAGCGAGAATAACAGGCTTACTTGATTCTATGCTGTGCCCAAGCTTTTTCCGATGGTAGTTTGTCGGGCTAGTCAGAGGTTATAATATTTGTTTTAATATTTCCAGTATTTCAAAATGTTTGAAATACTGGAAACCTAAGCACATTCTTACTTGTTGTCTGGCTAAATTGTAAGCAATCTATTATGACAAATGCAAGCTTTTTTTTATGAATGAGTGTTAGAATTGTTTGACTTTAGTTTTTAAAATGATGCTTCACACATGTTTTACTAGGTCATTATTGTAAAGAAATGTGTCTTTATTTTCCTGCTTGATTAAAGTTAAATTGAATAATACATAGCACTAATATACATTGGAGGGCTTTACATCAACAGAAATCTCTGAATATGACCATGCAGTGCTGTGTGTTCTACAGGTCCTCGGAGACTGTAAATGAAGTGGAACTCTGCACCATTTGATTGTTGTGAAAAGCAGTTTTAATCCACCGGCGCTCTCATGGTGCTGGTCCACAGGAAACCTCATCTGCTTTGTGTTTTGTGCTCCACTTACTGTCACACTATTTTCATGTGGTGCCAGAGCTGTAAATCAGACTATGGCACGCCTCAGCTTCGGTCTAGAGGATATCACCTCTGAAAAAGGAAAGGCAAGGTTCCACACATGCAAATATGAAAAACAATGCTTAGATATGTGAGCACATATCACATTAAAGAAGGAATGCTCACATACACCATTAAACACAACCCTTTCCTGATTATGACCCTTGAACCAGAGCTCCATGGCTCAGCTGGGGGAGGCCTCTACTCCCAGGGGAGAAGGTTCTGACTGTGATCCTCTGCAGCATCTGTGAGGTAAGTTCCACACACTTCAGACATACAAAGAAAGGAGAGAGATCGGGCCGTGGCCAGAACTTTCCCCTCAACTGTATATGCTTTAGGCATATACGTAAAGAAACAACTCATAAATTCAACAGGCAAACCGATGATATTCTGCACACAAACACATATAGTAAATTAAAATAAACCTTTAAAAAATGTCTTATTTATGTTCATTTTTAAATTTTTTATAAAAAAAGGAGACATTTTGGATTCTGTTAAATAAGTGTCATTTACCAGTTTATTAGTTTAGTATTTGAGTTTGAAATACTTAGATGCGGAAATACTGTTATATACAAAGGAGATCTTTAATCCCCTGTGGATGTTGGAAAACCCAGTCTTTCTTGGCCTTGAGATGAATTCTTGGTTGCTGTGACTCTCATTATAACACCCTGAGAGGGATGGTGGGGGATAAAAAGAATGGTATATGCTGCAGAATGAGGTGAGACAGAAATAGGATGACCTGCCTCTTAGATCAAAGATGAGCCGAAACTCAGCAGAGAGGTACTTCTGTCTTGTCTGACGCCCTTGTTTCCAGCTCCACATGGGTTTAGGGCACAGCTTCGGTAAACTCATATAGTTTCTGCTGACACAGCAGGAAAAATATATCCTTGTCACACACACTGCTTTTGACCTCCAAATCAGCCGAAATACAAACGACTGACTGAGTGGTGACAAGCGAGACAAAAATGTGATGAGAGACAGAAAACAGTTTCATCAGGAAGAGGACAAGGGGCCAAAATGTATGGATGTGCGATTCACAAAAGGCTTTGATCTGACACGGAAGGCTGAGGGCGTGTGTGACGATTTATGGTAGAGATTATTTGTTGGAGGTTGTGATGAGTGAAACTCTACTGTCCATGTGTATGCCAGGATTGGTTACCTATATATTAACCACCACGTCTACCGACCCCAAACACTTGTGAGGTTCACCCCAAATGATCCTGGGAAAAGGAACTAAAGTCCAGAGCTGTGTGCGTGCCTCAATTTCACATGCAGTGATCATTATCACCTGATTATCACATACATCAGTGTATCTACATGCCTTTTTATGTATGCATGTGTGTGGATGTGTGTGCCTGCAAGCCAGTTTGAGAAAAAGTGATTCAAGATGAACTAAAGATGTTCAGCAGAGAAAAGTCCAGCTGGTTTTCATTGCACAAAACACTGTGTCTATTACCAGCAGCTCAATCGCTTTTAAAGCTACTTGTAACCCCATAGCTTATATTAGAGTTGCCATTAAAGTATTTGTACATTACATTACTTTAAAAAACTGGCGAAAGAAAAACCTGATGAGGAGAATTCTTGATATTGTTTTATATTCAATAAAGTGCGACTGATCTGTTTCTGTAAAAGTGCAGTAACAGTTAAAAATGGTCAATTTTGGAAACAGACAGTATTTCTGACAGGTATTCATTTGAATTAATCACACTGGGATGAAATATGGACATTTTGAAATGAGTTCCTTTACGGCAGAAAACTAACTAGATAAAACATATGACTGTTGATTGATGGAAAACTGGGGAAAAAATCCTTTTTTGTTTGTCTGACTAAAGGCCCAGTCTTTTGTAGGTAGTGGTTTGGTGCCAGGAGTTTCAGGAAAACATGTATGCTTGTTTTACAGTGCAGATCTTTTCCAGTAAGTTTCGAATATGACTCAAGCATCAGCTCTGAATGAGAATCTTTCATTGTTGGATTCAAAAAGGAATCACATTGGGTGACACATATATGCTTAAAAACATCCAAGCTTCAACATGGAAACCACTTTGAAACGAAACAAAAGAGCCAATGTAGAATAGTTTTCTTTAGCAACAACAAAAAAAAGTCCATTACTTGTTCCAAAATGAGTGGGGGCCCTCTCAGAAAATGAAACAACAAGGTAACATCAAAAAGAGGAACGTATGGAGCTGTACAACCATATGGACACCTGCACTCATGTCAACTCTGCAAAGCCGAGAACCCATTCATTCATACATCCACATTTCTCCATTCCTCTGCCCCCAGGCTGATGACAAGGTGTTTCTGAAATCACATTAGGGGCCCTTTCATAAAGGTTTCACTGGCGAGTGTCTAACAGCTTGAAGCATTTAGGTTTTGTTTAATATGATGCAGGCTTGCTGCACTGATACTTTGTGTCCTCTGCAGAAAGGAGCCCTGAGACCCCCACTGGAAGAGATTGCTTTGATATCTGGAGGTGGAAGGGGATACTGAGCAGAATAACCTTCCTCTACACACAAGCAGATACATATGTATGTATATATTGCACACTGCATATATATAAAACCCCCCCTCCAAAAAAAAAGAAGGTCAATACCTGACTCTGCCCAGCTATCCTGTGGAGTTATGGCCATCCAACCATCCAGTGAATAAGTCCACCTTTGAAGTGCAGCTCTCCAAGGCTTTACACCCTCTGGGAGATGTGTATGAAGAAAAGATGTCATGATCTGCAAAACTCAGTCCATTTCAGGCACATGCTGTATCTGTTAGGTAAGGTGCCCTGGTTCCAAAACATAAACTGTCAGTCAAAATCAACCATAAAATTCCAAAAAATATCAATACAACTTATACTGATTTATTCTTTTTCTCATACCAATATGTTTTAATTAAAACGTTTTATGTATCGGGACATTATGCTACAATAATTTCATATTTACAAGGTCTTGAAATC